ATCTAAAACATAAATAACCTAAAAATCAGGCTACCTCATTTGTTCAAGCCTCTGACTCACAGGTCCTCTAAAACATGCAATACTTCCTGCTTAGAAAATATCTGTCCTGCACACACAAGCAAAATACAAACCTGCCTTTACTTCAAATGGTAATTCCAGCTCCTTTAAGGCATCTTTTTTTAGTGGCAAGTTTTCCAATTCAACAGCACCTATACAAAGAAGAATAAGACAAGTCTGCTAAACAAAACTATGTTAAAGAAAGCCAACTTGAACACTGTAACCCTAAAACAACTGGCATTGGTTGTTTAAAAAATTAAATGGGATTTAATAAGCCAACCTATCACTTCAGGTTGTGTTAAGATCACAATGGTTATTTAATACACTTGTTAATGTATTAATCCAATGTCATGTGCTCAAGCTATTTCATTATATCATCCAGAAGCAATCTTCTGTGGGGCTTTAGAACTGAACTTTGTTATAGCCAGAGACAAAACCTCTCCCTATTGTCTTTTCTAAAGAAATACTTATTTTCTTAGTATTGTGAAAAGCACATACAGAAGAGCCTTGGAGTATTACAAAACATTCTCACCAGAAGCAGCAGATAACAGCAGCAAAGGGTGAACAGAAATCATTGATTTGAGGGCTCTGTACAAAGTACAAAACTCGTGGATGCAGCATGACACAAACCAGAGTACAGGGGAGCACCTATGAGCACTAAAAGGTAAGAGGGTGCAGACACTTCCTGCCACGGTCCCTCAACAGGAAAGTTGAGGGAACAGTATCAGGAAAAAATTATATAAATTCAACATGCTAAGGTAGCTGAGCATACATTTGAAAATTTTGTGTAAATTGGTTTAAGAGTGTTGATAAAGAGCAAAGAACATAAGATCATTTACTGTTCATTATAAAGTTCTAGTACCAAACTCTTTATTAAAAGGGTTTATATAGTCATTAAAAACAATATTAAGTGATTATTTCTATTCCATCTTCCAGTTACCACAAAAAAAACCCCACTTTTCTAAATCACAATATGAAAACCGTAGAGAAGATACCACAAAGCCACCCTCACCCTTTAGAAGTGCCACTGAAAGTTGGTCTGTGTTCAGGTTATTGACATATTTGCCCAGGTAGGTGTTGAGGACCCAGGCTACCAATCCTTCCAACATGACTGTCCTAGAAGGAGAAAACTAATGCTTTTCTGTCATTTTTTGGATTTCTCTTCCATAATTAGTCCCAGTCTGAAAGAAAAAAAGAAGAAAATTATTGTCTGAAATATACACTCAGCAGAGCTGACATCACTGTCACTTCAATTCTTACTGAAATCTATCTAAAGAGAAGCAAAAGCACTAAGGCTGGTTTCTACCTTAAAAAAGCTTTATCCTATGCCCTTCAAGTGTGAAATCAGCTTCACAGAGAAATTTGCACATAAAGTTCATCTTTCCATCCTTTTTCTAACCAAAACAATACTTTTTGGTGCAATTATCAACACAGAGAATCTACAATCCTCCTCCAGAAAAGGAAAGGACAAAACTCCACATTGATCTGAAGTTTGCACTGGCCTCCCTGACCTCTGCTGCCAACATTGTCACCATGCTGGGTTAGGCAGCCTGCTCTGAAGCAACAGCCTGAAGCCTCCCATGATTTTGTACAATTCTTACATGACTTCTGTGAAGCAACTCACCCTACTCACACCCCTTTTTGGGAGAGCATGTGTGTGGGAAGTAACCAGATACAAGCCCCAAAAATAGCCCACCAACACTTACTGCAACAGGTTTTCAAAGTGGCAGCAGAGATTATTGCACTGAAGAGGGAAAAAGCTGCATTAGAGAAGCACCACTGGTCACAGTCCAGAACATTTCCCTTCACTCTTCTCCAGTCACTTCTGTTTCACTTCTGTGGTAATCAGGGTATTAAAATCCCAAAGTCCCTGTTCAACCTTTTAACCACTGAATTACAAAACTACTCATAGCTCCTGCAAGGGCGGGGTGAAGCCTGGTACAGTAAGGAAAAAAGCATGCAGGCCATCCCTTGAGATTAGGATGGAATTTTTAAAAACTCTCCCAATCCCATATACCTGCCTAAACCACTGGATTCTACAAAGCAGAAAAAGCAAGATACATCCTTTATTTACAGCTGACCACAGAAGGAAACAACAGCTTCAAGAGACACATTTTAAATTTTACATTAAGATTTAGACTTTTCTCATTATGAGATTTGCTTGATTTTAGGCAGCCCCATTTAAGGTTTTATTTGTTTCTTAAAAAGGCAGTGAAAATACTTAACTAATAGTCAAATTAAATAACCAGAATTAAGCGAGCAATGAAAGGCTTTTTCTAAAGGCTGAAAGTGAAACTGTGCTGTCCTGAAGAATGAAACAGAAAACAGCACAGGCAACTTCGATTCAACTCAGTCACATGACTTCAAATAAAATGTGTTTTACCAGTTTTCCCTTTGTAAAATTTTTCAACAATTTTCAAAAACAATACTATTGTTCCACATAATAAAGACTAAGCATTTGTGCTTTTGGGCCACCCGCTTACATTATAGGTTTTTATTCTAATAAAAGTGACAACAAACTCAAGATCAAAAAGTATATACAATCATCTTTGTTACACTGCCATTAAAAAAAAAAATAGGCAGTAAAAGAAGGAATCTACAGGTGTTTGGAACCAAAGCAGAGGAAAGACCTTGAAGAAACATTTAAGCACAGCAGAGATCAGCATCCCAGTGACTCTGGTGCACAAACCCTGCCTGAAGTCACCCTAAGAGCTGTACATGAAGTACATCACATCCTTAACCTAAATTCATGGGACATAACTAACCATGTACAAATCTTTCAAATGTTTTAAGGCTTTTGTATTTTTAATTCTCCAATACACTGCTGTGCCCCGGAAAGAAAAATAAGGCATTTCTCTTCTGTGACAATGCTTTCATTTCCTTAACGCACACAGCACAAGAACTGTCAGGGTGAGAAGCACAGCCCAAAGCAGGCCCTGGCTCAAAGCGAAAGAAGGATGCATTTTCCGCAGGGGGGACAGAGCAGGCCCTGGGCGCCGGGGCCAGGGCAGGTGTGAGGGCAGCGCCCGAGGCGCGGGGGGCTCTGCCAGCGCCCCGACACCCAAAACCTGAGGGAACGAGCCTCCGGGCCAGCGCCGCGGACACGGGGCATGGGCAGCAGAAAATGCGGGCTCGCCCGGCGTGCCGGGGAGGAAGCGAAAGGTCACCTTGCCCGGCGCAGCGGGACGGACCCCGCGGGAGCCCCGCGCAGCGTGAGGCGCAGGAGGGCCCGCGCCAGGCGGGGAGGCCCTGAGGGACCCCCGGGCCCCACCGTCGCGCTGAGACCCCCGCGCCCCGCAGGGACCGCGACGGACCCGGACAGAGGGGGACGGACCCGGACAGAGCGGGACGCACCGCGGGCGCCCCTCGCCCACCCTCCCCGGGACGGGGCGGGGCGCCGCGAGGGGCGTGCGGCAGGGAGGGGCCCCTCAGGCCGGAGCCGAGGAGCGGCGGCTGACGCAGAAGGGAAAGGCAGCGGGGCCGGGGGTACACCCAGTGGCCCCCGTACCCCCTCGGGGCACCCCGGGAGCCCCGCACTCACCTGCGCTGCGGGCGGGGGGCGGCGGGCGCGCGCCGGGCGGTCGCGGGGGTGCGCCCGAGTGCGGGAGCGCCGAGCGATCGATGGGGCGGCGGCACCGCCCCCTGCAGGCGGGGCACGGTAACGCCCCTGGGGCGGGCCCGGACCCGGGGCTCCGCGCCGCCCTCACGGAAATGGGTGTAAACAGGGCGGGATTGGGGAGGAACGCCCTCACGGAAATGGGCTCGAGCAGGGCGGGATTGGGGCTGGAACGCCCTCACGGAAATGGGCTCGAACAGGGCGGAATTGGGGAGGAACGCAGAGCCCTCACGGAAATGGGCTCGGACAGGGCGGGATTGGGGCTGGAACGCAGAGCCCTCACGGAAATGGGTTTAAAGAGGGCAGGTTTGGGGAGGAACGCAGAGCCCTCACAGAAATGGGCTCAAACAGGGCAGGTTTGGGGCCGGAACGCCCTCACGGAAATGGGCTCAAACAGGGCGGTTTTGGGCCCGGAACGCCCTCACGGAAATGGGCTCAAACAGGGCAGGTTTGGGCCCGGAACGCCCTCACGGAAATGGGCTCAAACAGGGCGGTTTTGGGCCCGGAACGCGCCGAGGCCTCGCGGCGCCCTGGCCCAGCCGGGCTGAAGAGAAGCAGCGGCCGAAACCCCGCAGGCAGAGCTCCCCCCAGGCAGAACCCTCGCAGGTAGATCCCTCCTCGGGCAGAGCCCCACGGGCTGCAGGAGCTGCGGCTCCTCGGTACCAACCTCACAGGGAGCGCTTGGCTGCCATGGGTAACCTGTGCGGTGAGAGAGCCACACTGGAAATCCGAATTTTGTTTAATAAACAGGTCAGGAAACTTGAGAATACGTGTATTTATAAGAAAGATATGTTTGTCTTTTGGGGTTTGTTTTTTGCTCTTTGTTGTTGATTTTTTTTTTTTTTAATACGCAAATGCAGGCTCATTTTTCCTACTTCAGCATAAAACTTGGATTTTCTCTCTGTGACAGCTCCTTAATATGAAAACTCAGTAAATTAATTACCATAACAGGATCCTCCTTTTTAATATTTTTAAACGTCTTTAAAAATCTTCCTTTGCTGCTTCACTGTGGCCCCAGTAGTGGGAGCTGACAGAGAAAAAAATTGGCTGACAGAAATATTACAGAGCAAGAGGTTCAAAGAGCTGTGGAAAATTAGGTTCTTGCCTAAATCCTTCAGTTCTGTAGTAGTTTCAGAGTGCCCATTTTCAAAGTCTTTCCTGAAAAATACCTTTGAGTATAAGTTTAATACAGATTTGCAAAATGCTTCAAATGCTTCTTCATAGTAGAACTACCGACGTGTTTGTCAGTTCCAGAAAGAATTACAGCTTATATAGTACCAGAGCTTTTTTGGAAGTTTAAAATTTGCATTTTTTGAATCTGAATACTCCTTTGTAGCAGTGTTATTCCAAAAGATCCTTTTAGGTCTCAGGCCTCAGAAAAAACCACTGTGTCTTGAGATAGATGAGGGCAGTTCAGTGATCACATAGTCCAGCAGTGTTTTTATGGCATAAGACAAGGCTTATGTGTCACTGTGTGACTTCACTCCCACGGGATTGCAGATTCTGGTTGAACACAGCCACCACAATTGACAGTTAAGTCACAAATGTAAAATATAATTATGGGAAGTGGGTTCCTAAATATTGGCTTCCAAACCACTTCATTCAAGGAGAACCTCCACTAATTTTCTGTAAGAGGTGGTTGGAGCTCCAGCGTCATCAAGCAGTGAAGGAGAACAGGATTTTCAGGTTCTGGGGTTTGAGTAAATTCCATTTATTACAGATGATGCTCTGCCATCTGAGGGCAATGAGCTATCTGGCAAAGATAATCACAGGGAACTGCTCTAATAGTCACTGAACACAGGGAAAATATTTTGCATTTATGGTTTACCTCAAAATAGAGGTCAGGATCAATGGGGGAAACATGTTACCTCAGCCAGGACACAAAGGTGACAAACTCTAAGGTTGTCAACAAAAGGAACTTACTCCTACTCCAAGATAACGACAGTTCAGTCTAGGCTTTCCCTTCTAAAACAAAATGAGCTATGTACAGACAATGAAATGCTGTTGTTTAAACATAACAGTTGTAATTTTAGTTGTAAAAAAAACTTTGTGTAAAAGATTTCACTTCCTAATACCCTATATGTACTTGAGAAATTTGCTCTGATAATAAGAAAAAACAAACTGTAATAATAAAAGAAATATCCAGGAGGATGAGGGAAAGGGTGACAGCTAAAATAGGGGATAGGAAACTGAATGCAATAGCTTTAAAATTTAAATCAAACAGATGATTCCTGAGCATTGAGTAACTCCAGTCCCTTGAGAAGTGCTGGTCACAGCCATGCTCTTGACACGTGGCAGACCTTGAATAGAAATCATCATCACAAGTTTCAGGAGAAAACAGCATAAAGTTTGAAAAATATTCTTTTTCAAGTCTGATAAAGGTCCTCTTAGGGAATCAGAGAAAGAGAGGAGTTGGCCATTCAATTTTAAAAAGCTTCAGTGATTTTTATTTTAAACTGCAAAGCGACAGAAGATGCTAAAAACCTCGAAAGCAGCAGTGTCTATATTCATCTGAAATTTCAAATCTGTAAGAAAGCTACATGTACCAGAATGTTTGTTTTATAAGACAAGAGGTTGTTTGATTATCAGTCCATCAGCATATGATCTGTCATTTCCTTTAACTGGTTTTCATCCCAGCATCTTGAATGCCCAGAGGAACCTTCTTTTCTTCTGGAAGTGAGTCCTGAAGTAAATTGTCCTCATTTTCCACTGCGATGTGAATTTCAGTTTCTTTGTTCAAGGCATTTTCTTCTTTGGAAAGGAGGGTTTCTCCCCCTGTGGGGGAACACCAGGGAGTGTGCCCATAATCCCTGCTCGCTGAACTCATCTGCTCGGGGCACTGCGAGCTGCAGTCTGGTCTGCAGAATTTCACAATGCACGTCACATTCACCTGCGTTCCTCCGTTACCAGAATGTTCTGTCAAATAAACACAAAACAGAAGAATGAAACCAGAACAGGGGATTATTTATCCAGCTCTTTGACTTACAGTTAAAATACACAATTTAGTCAAGCTGGTTGAGTTGGTTTTGTCACATTTTGGTACCATAAAATCTATGTATCTCCCCAGAAATAAAAAGGCGACCAAAATTAATGCACAGAGCTGGATTGCAAACAATTCCCTGCCCGTCTGTTGTCATTTCAAATGCTTTTGACAATGTTCTTTTGTAACTGCTTCCTTTGGCTTCTACTCCCACTCACAGGTAAGTGCCAACCACCCACTCCCCTAGCCCTTAAATACTTGTTTGTCCACTGAGAAAACTCTTTACTGTCTCAGGATGGCAACTTAAAACAATCATTTTTTTATTTTCAAAAGTTACTAAATTTTCTCTCTGCTGAACAGGACTCAGGTGTTTTATCCTGCCATTTAAATTCTGCTAAAAAGACTCATAACTGATAAATTTCAAGAGGTTCTGGATCATTCAGAATCACTACTACCTGAACTCGCAGAGCTGTGTCCATCTCCACTCAGGAATTTAGAACCTTCAGGAGGTGAATGTTGCAGCTGAAACTCTCCTGAGTTTTTATTTTCATAATTCTTCTTACTTGTTACACTGATGGTTGGAGATCCAGTGGGATTCAGGATACTGCTGGACCCAGAAGTTTCCAAGAGATGCTGGTGTTCCTGTTCAGAACTCCTGGAGTTCTGCAATTCTGTATCTCTGACTTTTTTGTCACACTGTTTTTCTGGAGGGGGAAAACTCTGGAACATTTGCAGAGAAATTAAAAATGTTAATATTAAAAATAAAATAAGCAACCCACTAGCAAAGAACTGGTCAGTATTTTGGCAGCTAAAGACACCACTGATGATTGGAACCAGAGGAGCTTTAATGTCCCTTCTCATTCAAGCCATTCTATAATTATTTTCATTTGCATAGTGATGGGTGCAAGCAAAATCCATAACAGATTATTAAGGGTTTAACAACAGGAACTCATCTCCTGAAGGCACCCACAGCCCTACTCTGATTACTTAGGGACCAAAGCTGTCAAATTAAGTTTTCAAAACCCCACCTGGGTTGTGGGACATTATATGGGATATATAAGGTACATCTTACACCCTAGCTTGGGGACCAAACCACCCTGCTCTCACTCCAGTTTTCTTGCTGCTCTGCAGTTTTCTTCTACTTGTAATTAGGTGAGAGTTTATGATTTCTGTATAACTTTTAAAGAAATGGAAGAGATGGAAAGAGAGGACACTCACCAAATCTGCTTCTGCAGCTGCTGCAGAGTACACCAGGGCTGCCATGAGCAAAGACAGTCTGTTAGCACCCAAACCTGTCCCATTTGCAACAGCTGCACCCTAAGCTAGGCTGTGATCCCTGCTCCTGGAATAAACTTAAAATGTACGTTTATTACACACAGTTTGGCCACATTGAAACCTGTATTGTGTTAATTTTGTGACCCAAATTTAGCCAGGAAGCAAAGGGAAGCTTCAGCATTAATTAATAATTTTTCTTGTATAGTGTCAGTAAAAAAAGGTATTGATGACAATAAATCAGATTCATGTCTGTATAATTATAACACTTGAAATTGTCTAATATTTAAATGATGAAGTACCAAACATAAGCTTCAGCAGAAGCACAGCTGTTGCACAGTTGCCCAACTCCAAGGCTGTTGTGTATTTAGACAATAACCTAAAATCTGAGGAACAAGACAGATCAGAAGAAAGCTGGAATCTTCTAAGACACCAATTTCAGTCAACCACCAGGCTCAGGTTAATGTGAAATTAGGTGACACTTCACAGTTTTTTCAGATTTGCTTGTTTTCACCTCATGACTCTTACCTTTTTTTTTGGAGACTAAGCAATATCCCAAAATAGCAATTATCAGGACCAATAAGAATGGCCCTGCTACTGCTCCTGAAAATAAATAAAAAGAAGAAATTATTTGGCAGCTTGATCTAACAAAGGATCATATTACAAAAAGGTAGTCTTGTAGTTTCTGTGCATCACTACAAAAGCTAAATTTACAAGTATTGTGTATGCCTGATATTCACATTTGATGCCTCAATTGTCAGACACCAAGGTCTCATTTCAGTCACCATCACTTCATAAAGCTAAATTCTCTCCTGAAAAGTAAGGACAGACTTTTGGCCTCAGTCACAAAAGGTATTTCTCCGGGCAAGCAAGAATTTGTCACATACAAGGCCAGGTAGCTGAAAATGCTCCTAAACATCTCTGGCTCCTGGATGGGCTGTGAACAGGAGAGAGCACATCCACACCTAGGAATGCTGTCAGGACCTTCTGTCTCAGCAAAGGCTGACAGAAAATTCACAGACCTCTCACCAAGCCAGGTTTGCTTCAGTCCAGAATTTAAGATATGACCTTTTCTACCAGCTATAGCAGCCATTACCAGGAAATGCCTTGTATAATCTAGTTTGGGGTTTCTTAGAAATATTTCCAGTTTACAAGGATCATAAAATGCACAAGTGGTAAAAATGCAGTGTCACATTGAATTAATTGAGCTTCTCTGAGGTTCTGTTTGGGTACAGGCGACTGGTTTTGGAAAGACTCTGAGAACTAAATATAAGCTTGGTTCCTGAGCAGACAGAAGTGACTTTAAATGAGTTAAAGCTCACCAGTGATGTGGGACAGGTCAGGTACAGAGTTTAACACAACAGGTTGAGTTATTATTTCAGGTTTGTGGAAAGCTGAGCTCTGGGTCAGAAGTAGGTTCCAATTAGTGTGAGGCAGAACTGTGGCTGTTCCTGAGTCACTGCAAACAGTGTCATTCGTGCTGTTCCCAGGGACAGCCACTGATTTACAGCTGCAGGAGACAAAAAAGAAGTTAGGAACAGCAGAAAGCCCTGCACAGTTAAGGCTGCTGTTGGACAGAACTCTGGCTCACATGGTATGGGGTATGCAGCTGGTGTTGTAGGATTCCTCAGGGGAAAACGTGCCAGGAGGACAAGGTTTACATTCTGTGTCTGTGCTGTCTGTCCCTTTAAACAAAGAGGAAAACTCCAGTTACTTATCTGGTGAGAAACAGGAATGAATAATCAGGGTCTGCAAGAGACCCTAGTAGTGATAGAAGCAGTGCAAAAAATGCAGTCTCTAACTGTCACAGAAGACATTCACTTGATGCACCCAACCCAAAGAGAAGATTAACCAGCTGTAAGTTTGGTGCCATTAAAGGTTCAAATGTGGTGCTGCAAAGCTGAGCTTTTCACCAAACTGTTGAGTTCTGCATCTTCTCAAAATTATTCTATTTTTTTTAAATGTGCAGTGTTTTGAATATTGTTTAATTATTTATCATTTTGAGACAGATGTATTATCAGGGTGATGGATTCCATCAACTAATAAAACCAGATCAATTCTGCAGGACAGCATAGAGTCATCATTATTTACTGTACCCAAAATTGCACCTGAAGCCCTTTTTCAAGGACTTAAGGAGTGATTAAGTGGTCTTGGATCTCAGTCACTTGTACAGAATTAAATCACCCAGTAGAGCAAAATGCAGATTAAGTTGGATTGGAAACTTTATGATACATGACAGTAAGAAATTGCAACATGTTGTCACTTTGGATATAGCTCTGGAGAATACTGTTACTCTGCTTAGTGCCCACTTGCTGAGGATGTAAAAATAAACCCTAAAAGGAATGCACAACCATAGGGAATTAGGCCAGAGTCAATGTGCAGTAAGCAGAATCAAAATCAGATTACCTCTTCTGGAAACGCGGTAACCTTTGCCGCATTTTTTGTGTGTTCTACACACCTCACAGTGCTTGTCCAGCTTGGAAACACAGTACTTGTGGGGTGGGCAGCTGCAGATTCTGTCCTGGAACCTAGTGCAAGTTTGGTTCTGTACAAGCCCTGGTTTTAAAACAAAAATAAAGCAAGATATCATTGACAGCATTTAAAATCACAGCCTGCAATGTTTCGAGTGAACATGAGGTGATGTTCACATACAAGTTTTGGGCTTGTATAGCACCATAAACCAAATGCCCCAATATCTACATTTTCAGAAGAGTTTTCTCTCTCTAGGCAAGGAGAAATTTGCACACTTAAACTCTGTGCCTGCAGTTGTGTTATGTTGTGTCATAACCCCAAACATGGCCATTTGTGTTCACCACTGCCATACCTGGGGGCCACACTGAGATGTTCAGTCTGTGCAGATCACTGTATTTAGAGATTTTACAACAGATATTTTCATACTGTAATTAACCAGCTTTGTAAGATTATCTATTTAGATGAGACCAAAGGTCCTTTCAACTTACACTGTATCCTTAAAACTTACTTCTCAGTGAATCAAGTAGATAATGTTCTACACCAATTTCCATTAGAAATGATGGAGGACAGCATGACCAAGTTCATTAATGCAGGTGATCTATAGCCCAAAGTACAGGTGTTGGTACAATGTTCTACCTTAGGTACTGTTAAGCTGCTTCAGGGAACAGAACCAGTGTGCTCTCACTGACTGCTAAACCCATGTTTATTTTGCAAAATAAACCCATGTTTGCTGTTGTCACTTCAGCAGACAAAATGAGAAATGACAGGATGCTGGAAATGTAATTATCCATTTACCCGTGTCCAAGTCAGGTCTTAAGGTCTCTTGATGGGATGTTATAAGCAGGAGCTTATTCTACTGATGGCATTTGGAATATTTTAGTGATGTAGTGCCTTAGTTTTTAATAATATAAGATTGGATCTCATTTTTAGGACTTAAAAAGGGCCAGGGCTCCCTGCAAGACTCACCTTAAAACCAGAGCTGAATGAAAAATTAGTGAGAAACAGTTCAAATAGATACTTTAATATATGATCAGCTCACTGTAGCACTCCATACTCCTTAAAAGGCCACTGTGTAATTCCAGGTTCAATACACATTCTGACATCCTCACCTGATTTCATTTCAATTTGTTTTATCCAGCCTAAATTCCTATGATTAAACAAACATATAAACAACATAAATATCCCATAAGAACACAGTGACCTGGACATCTCAGCAACATTTCCATACTTATCTTCACAATCCTGAACATTTTAAAACCAGGCAGAAAAGTGCTATCAATACACCAGTGAAAAAACACTCAGCTGAAGGCAAAGAGATCCCATGGAGCTCTTTGGCTGACAGAGTTACAAACCCCACTGCCAAACTGTGCTGCAGAAACAGCAGCAGCTGCAGCACATCAGATCTTCACTGCAAATTAAAGGCTTTTCTATTTAAATGGGGAAGAGTTCTAGGGAGCCAATGGAGCACAAGTTCTTCCTGTGTAAACAGTGTAACACAGATATGGATTTACACTCTGCACTTGCCAGGGTGCTCACCACGGGTTTTACGAACATCCAAATAAGCCTGCAAAATCAACCTATTTCCGATGAAAATCCAGGAAAAGTTATTAGTCATTCCTTTGGGAAGGCAAGAAGTAACAACACAGACAAAGGCTGAGCTTTGACGTTTTAAGAGCGGGACTTGAGCTTGCTGTGGAGATCAGGGTGAATCCAGCCCAAGCCCAGGGGCACAGAGGTGACAAGGAACAGACAGGTGACAAGGGGCAGGAGACAAGGGATGGGTGACAAGGGACAGACAGGCAAGAAGGGACAGAAGACAAGGGACAGGTGACAAGGGACAGACAGGCAACAAGGGGCAGGAGACAAGGGACACCTAACAAGGGGCAGGTGACAAGGGGCACCTGACAAGGGACAGATGACAAGGGACAGGTGAGAAGGAGCAGGAGACAAGGGACAGGTGGCAAGGGACAGAAGGAGACAAGGGACAGGTGAGAAGGAACAGACAGGAGACAAGGGGCAGGAGACAAGGAACAGACAGGCAACAGGGGGCAGGAGACAAGGGACAGGTGAGAAGGAGCAGGAGACCAGGAACAGGTGACAAGGAACAAACAGGCGACAAGGGGCAGGAGACAAGGGACACCTGACAAGGGACAGATGACAAGAGACAGGCGACAAGGGACACCTGACAAGCAACAGACAAGCGACAAGGGGCAGGTGACAAGGGATACCTGACAAGCAACAGACAAGCGACAAGGCGCAGGAGACGAGACACCTGACAAGGGACAGATGACAAGGGACAGACAGGCGACAAGGGACACCTGACAAGGGACAGACAGGCGACAAGGGACACCTGACAAGGGACAGATGACAAGGGACACCTGACAAGGGACAGATGACAAGGGACAGACAGGCGACAAGGGACACCTGACAAGGGACACTTGACAAGGGACAGACAGGCGACAAGGGGCGGGCAGGTGACAAACAGACCGCACACACGGCAGTGACACGCTGCCCGTCTCCGCGCCCTCCGCAGCCGCATCCCCGGGCGGTGCCGCTCGCGTCTCCCCGCGGTGCTCCCGCCCCGGCCTCGCTCACCCGCCCGGCCCCGGCGGGGACCAACATCGCGATCAACACCGGCATGAGCCCGGGGATGAGCCCCGGGCCGGGCTCCCGGCGCGGCCCCATCGCTGGCACCGCCCGCACTGCTGAGCTGCTCGCACGGGAACCCGGGCTCGGGTGGGGGCCCTCGCCTGCCCCGTTCACACCACACCGCCCCGGATCGTCGTCACTTCGCCCCGCAGTACCGAGCTGCCTCTGCAGCGTGCCGGTGGTCATTAATACTCATTGATGGCAGTCACTCGTGTGTCGCACGCAGCTTTACTGTAAATTCAGCCCTCTAGTCCACTAAGAGCTCCGTGAGCTTCAAATGGCTTTCTTGCAAAAATATTTCTTCTGAGACTGAAATTATCAGCAATTTAACGTTTACATATCAAACAGGAAAAGTTTAAAAACAGGAAAAGTGGCCATGGCTTAAAAGCCGTGTAATTTTTAATTCGGAGATTACCAGCATTATTAAACCAATAACACATCCAGCAGGTTGCAATGCATATGGTTCTTCTAGAAAGCTGTTCCAGTAAAAAAGATTAATTAATAACAGAGTGGAAATACACGATTACAGTCATTGCAGAACAGCCCCAAACAATCACAGCCAGGTAAATGTGGTTATTCAGTTTGTGGATTCATGAACTGGTGTTCTCTAAAATGAAGTATGTAGTGAAGTTAAAGTAGATGTGGAAAAGGTCAACTAAAGTGACCAAGACAGTGGAGCATCAAACTTACACGAGTAATGTGAAAAGGTGGGACTCAACCTGGAGGCTTAGTGCAATCAAAGCTGAGATACAATCAATCACAAAAGCAACTTGGTGGAAAAGGAAAAAATAAAAAGTAACTCACTGACTTCTGTAAGGGAACAGCTAGTGGCATTCACTGAAATGAAGAGGCCAGTTTCAAAGTGCTAAAAGTCCTTTACACAGTGCATGATATCTGTAATCTTTGGCCACAGGTGCTTATGGAGACAGATTGTACTTGGAAATTCAAAAGAGAGAAGAAAAACTAATGGTGATGTAAGAGAACAATAAAGGCTGAATGAAACTCTTTGACATCCTTAATCCAATGGCAGCTGCAACTGCAGAACTATGATCAATGCAAACAGCAGTTGTGGTTTTCCTAACTAATCCCTTCCTGCAAGTGTCAGAGGTGAAATGTTGGGCTCAAACTCTGGCCCAAGAAGGGGTTTTTGTGCCCTTGTGATCTCTCTAAGACAGAAGTTGCTGCAGGTGCACCACTGGTATTACAGAGCTCTGCTCAGGACAAAGCTACAAAGCAAGTAATGGGTTTTGTGGTTCCTTTTTTTGATTATTAAGACACACTTTGTCATAGTGCTCATTTTCCACTGTCCTGTGTAACAGTGTAGTCAGCACTATTGCATTTACAGTTACTGAACAAGCAGCACAAAAGATTTAAAAATAGCATAACACAGGGCAGTCGGCCACCAAACAGGTTTGTTTTTAAAGGATATGCAAATCAGTGTCACCCTATGATTATGAACGATTCTAAAACAAGCAGATAATAACAGTGGAAATAACTGCTGTGCCTCTTTTTCAGTAGAGAAATAGTTTCTTTTCTTAATTTCTCTTTTTACAGGCTTAACCCATACTTCATCCAATAGCCAGATGCTCAGCCAGTTTGGCTTCCATCAGAAGAGGATGTTTTGTACACTTACTAATGATTTGATGTAGTCAAAAAATATTAATTGGACTTCAAAACCTAGAAAGAATGGCCTAAAGTACAGTGGATGTCAATTAGTTTTGTTTGCCTTCTATTTTCAGAGCATGTGTGGCACCTTTTGATCCTAATTCCTCAAGAAACATGAAATCCACAAACTTGAGAGTTATGTTTATGCTAAGGAAAATGGAGATTGTTATCATTTTCAATCAACTCAAGTTGAAGCCTTGAGTAAATGCCAGATGTTGCAAAATATATTACCAAATTAAATGTATTGGAGTAGAAACAACACGGCTGAGTCTCAAACTTGACTCGGAATCCTGGCCAGAATTTTCACAGCTAATAGAAGTAACCAGACATAGATTTCAATCCATTCCTTCACACTGAGAAAGCAAGCTCTGAAACTTCAGCTGACATCCAGATGTCCTCTAAATCATGCAGCTTTGATTCAAATTTGTTGTCAGTATGACACTGGGAGACAGGGAAATAGAAGTATTTGGTGTCAGCTGTGAAGGCCAACAGTTTGGGTGATCCTCTCCTTTGTGAGATGAAAGAGGTGCTAACTCCTTGTTTGAGTGTTTCAGTGTTTTCCAGGAGGTTCCCAATAATCTAAGGTGTGTTTTACCTCCCTTGTCCTAAATTCTGCCTTAGTGTCACACTGGTGCTTCTGTATGTCCACGCTGTCTCTGTGGGCTGTCACTTCTCAGTGGCAGTGGTAGGGTGGTGAAATTCCTTTCCCTCCTCTTCCACAGGCACCATCACATCATTCCCTGGAAAGGACTCTGTCTCCTGCTCTGGGTAGTGCATTTCCAGCTCCTCTTCCTTGCTTTCCTGGGCATCGAGGTTACTGTCACACCCTTTAACAGCACAGTTCTTGCCACTGGGCACTTCTGAAACAGTCCCCACGATAACAGTGTCGGCCTTCATGATGTAGAGTTTTTCTGAGGAAGGAAAAAAGTAGTGCTGAGCATGGTGAGCAGTCACTGCTGCCCCAGAGTTTTTAATGTTTGTCGTGCAACATTTTTATTAGCACTCTGGACATTTCAGATCCCACTTCCATGGGATTAAGCCACTGAGCTAGAGGTGGAACTACACGAGAAAGACAAAGTGGAAAAGGCAGAAGATATTCACAAGAATCTGCTAGAAGAAGCAATTAACTGGGATCTACAGAATCCAAGGTTTATGCTCCTGCTGTTTCAAGAAACAGCACCATGTAAAAGAAACCTTTGGGTAAAGATCAGCACTGCACAGAAGTTCTGGGCTCTTAGGACCTGAAAAGAAATTAGTTTATTTCCAGCTGAGAATAAACTACAAAATTTTCTGGATCTTGGGTCCAGCTTGTTGTTGTACTGCTTCACAGAAAGGTAAATAAAGCCTTTTCAATGGCTTGCACCACTGCACTTAATTCAGAAGGATGCTGCACATCAGACACTGTAGGTTAATTGCTTGGAGATATTTGGATATGGTAAATTAAATAATCACATTCATCCCAATCCATCTCTCACAGTAAAAACAGGAGGAGTGTTTAGTAAGGAAAGGTCAGTTTTTGTAATATAAAAAATAACACCTTCAAATAACCTCAGAACTGGGTTTGGAAGCACTGCCAGAATGTCTCATGCAGATGGTGTCTCAGGTAAGAATTCACCCCTATGAACGAGCTCCTTGCCTGACTTTATCTCCCAGCCTGTGCCATGGTCAAAGACTTTATGGGAACACATGGGAGATGCATTTCAAGCCATTATTATGAAACCAGAGAAGAAAATTATAGCTAAGTACAATTTTTATTCAGTATTACAGCATCATCTTCCAGCTGACATATTCAAATTTCTTCTGTAAAATGTACATATTCCAGAATGAAAAGGAGGAAGAAGGGAATTTTCTGTCAAATTCATAGTGACTAAGACAAACATGAAAAAAAAGGAAAGCATTATATTCAAATGAATAGGTATTTTTGTGTCAAAGATCTGGAGATTCAGCACAATCTTTGTCAGGAGATTTGGACACTGAAGTTTACTAACAATCTTGGAATGACAGTATGCGCCATGTTTGAAAATTTGCAAAAAGAAGATGACAAAAGGGAAAAAAAATAAAGCAAGACTCACCAATTCTGTTGTTTGTGTGGTCTCTGACTCGAGAATCCACAGGGCAATCTGGGGCATTCCCACTGCTTGGAGCCACATCAGCCACACTCCGAGGAGGACTCTGGGCTTTTTCTGAGCTGGACACCAAGTTATTGTTGGTTTCCAAAGGAAGGGCTCTGTCAATTAACTCCTCCTCTTCTAGCCCAGTGTCAGTGGTCAGTTTGATCTTCTGCCAACAGAAACGGGAGAGCAGGAGTGGGGTGAGTGTAAAAACACTTTGGACATTGCAACAGATCCACAGGATCCTCCTGTGTGAGTGTAAAAACACTTTGGACATTGCAGGTCCACAGGATCCTCCTGTGGCAGCCAGGATGACAGAATGTCCTTCCCAGCACCACTGGCACAGGGAGAGAAATGTCCCCAAGCACCTAAAGGAACTTCAAACCAGGCTCCTGCATCACTCAAGAGCATATTTCAAAATAGTGTTTCTAAGCTGAAGTTACAGATTTCTGATGACATTTTGAGGAATGTACCTCATTTCCACTGAAGAAAATATGTTTTAGCTACCTCTTAGACTTTGCAAAGACCTATCATGTTCCTATGGAAGAATAGAACGAGCCAGAGGCCAAACTGATTTAACTTCAAAATATAATTGCCACAGCAGAATGTCAGATAGAAGAAACAAGCTCAGACTACCTAACACATGAAGAATTAATTACTAGCAGTTCTTTAAAAGAGGAACCAAAATCTGAGAGAGGTAAAGGTCCTGCACCACAATTTTCTGGTGGTTCTGATCATATTCTTCTGTTTCCACAAGGCTGGGAAAAAAAAAATATTTTGAAATGTGCACTTTATATCCTTGTTCATGTCTGATTCTATAGAGGCAAGAATTGAAGCTCCTCATGATTCAGGAATTAACAATTACACACTGAAATTATGACAGCTGATTGCAACCAGAGTGACTGGAAAAAGCAGCATCTTGTGTGTGTGCAGACACACAGCATTTAAAAGAAAACTCATTAAAAAAATGAAAAAAATTAACAGTCTAAAGAGTGATTTAGCAGATCTGGACATTTAAAGATCCTAATAAAAAGGATAATAAACTGAGAATACTCAGAAAATGAAAGTGGCTGTTATTTCACTGACAGAGGGGAAATCAAACCAAGCAGTGATGATTTCAGCAGCTGAGGAGCTGCTTTCTGCTGCCAGATTGACTGGAGTTTGTCCTGTTCATCTGCAAACTGTTCTAAAACACCAGGAGCTTGTCCTGAAGCAATGACAAACCAAACCCACTGTTCATCCTGTGATTTCAGATCTTCTCCCATGGAATGCACCATGAATGGTTTAACACCAAACTAAATCCCCTCACAAGCAAGACTGGCAGCTGTGGAAGAGGTTTTACAGCAACTTCTGTGAGCCAGAGAGAAGTTTGATAAGAGGATCCATGTCTACCCCTGAAAGAATTTTCTACCAAGGTTGTTGACAGAGAAACCAAGAAAGAAAGAAGGAGAAATAAGAGAAACCTCCAGCTGCCTATTCCAATGAGCACTTTGTCTTTCCTGACCAATGAGTAAAGGGTAAATTTAGGAATTTTGTAAGAATATATAAAAAGCATGCATGCTATAATAAAAACAGTTGGAAGCCTTCTGGAAATGGAGAGTTGCTTTGTATTGTGACTGTCTCAACCACGACAGGCAGCATCACATCATTTAACACCACACTAACCTCAGCTCAAGACATGAAAATATTGAGTCCTAATACATCTCATCCCACCTAAATTATTACATACTGTAGTGGAAAGTCCAAACTAAAAGGCTGGCACTTTTTAGGCAGGACATTTGAAAATAATATTATTTACTTTGGCATGGGAAGTGATCTGTTTTGGAATATTGCTCACACTTACTGCACATTTGTTCACAAGATCCGAACCTGCAATGGAAAGTAAGAACATCATCAGAAGAAGAAGCCTCACAAAATCACAAGAAAGTTAATATATGCTCTGAAAGATCACTTCCTGCCCACCCCATGTGCATGATGGTTTTCTCAAAACCCAGGCCACACTGAAATTACACTCCTGAGGGCAACCAGCAACAGGTTGCTGCCAAGACTGGGAAATCCTGCTGTCCCCAAAGCCTTTTGCACCACACCACAACTGCTATTCACCTTATGAAAAAATGAACTGATGAAACTGTCTAGATAAGAACAATACAGGCTTATTAAAAAGAAAATTAATAACTTTCTGCAGGATTAACTGGTTAGGTCGGTTCATCATATTGTCAGATGATTATTAAGGGGGTTTATTAAGGATTTTATGCACAGTTCCATTAACAGGGAACACTGGGCAAAGAAGAGAGGTGAGGAGGAGGGAGTGTACAACCTCTGCAGCACCATGAAGGTACATGGGCTCAGACTTTCTGCCTAATTTCACCCTGATGTGCAATCACCTTTATTTTCAGAGCACCAGCTCTGCAATGCTGCACAGTAACAGTTTCTATTGTGCAAGGAAAGTGAGGGAGAAAGAATTCCATTTTGAGAAAATTAAGCTGCACACAAGAGTTTTTAAATTGCATTCCTGAGTGAATGAATACAGAAAGCTCTGCTGTGTGGTGATTAGAGTCTGACACAACAGAGAATGGCTCTGGCAGTGGAACTGCTGAGAGGGGATCAGCTAAATGGGTGAAATGTTTGCACTTTATGGGATTTGTGCAGGGTTTTTTTCTGAGATCTCCCATATTTTACTGTCTCGAAATCAATGGGGCTGTTTCCAGCACTGACATCACCCAAGGCTTCAGCCACCGTGGGGACAAAGTGCCACCTGCTGGCACCTGCTCACATCCAGCGTGTCCCCTGCCTGCTCCGGAGGAGCAGGACTGGCCTCTTGCATGGCAGCAGGGACACACCTGTGACATGAGAAGCTTTCACTTTTTAAATTGAAATTAAATAAAATAAAAATTTTTTTAAAATATTTAAAAATAAAATAAAATATAAAAAATAAAATAAAATAAAATAAAATAAAATAAAATAAAATAAAATAAAATAAAATAAAATAAAATAACCAAAACAAAATAAAATAACCAAAACAAAATAAAATATAAAAAATAAAATAAAATAACATAAAAATAAAATAAAATAAAATAAAATAAAATAAAATCCCATGTTAAGCTATCCACTTATTCTTCAGACATCAGGATGGCACTGCTGGCCCCTCAGTCACTCACCTTGAGGTTTGAGCACGTATTTGTGTGCGATGACCGCCTGCAGGTGTGCTGATAAAAGAAACCTTCATTTAGTCAAGCTCACCACGGAGCCTGAAGGCTCCACCAGCCTCACCACACCCACAGATCTGCAGCCAACCTACAACGTGCCCATCCTGCTTTCTGTGAAAGAGGGAATGTGGCTCTGCAGACACACCCCACATGTAACTCCAGGCAGAGCTGTGGGGAGTCAGTGTCAGCAAAAATCACCTTCCTCTCATGCTCAGAGCCCAGTTCTGTTCCCAGAACCAAAAACTACTCACACAACACTTCGGGTATCAGTTAATATCAATATCTTTGCTGAGAGAAGAAACAGCTAGTTACCTTTTCCCCTCCTGTTGTCACCCACCTGCTTCCCTCCCTAAATTCACAGCTGCTTCCATCTCTCATGTTCTCCAACGTCCTGCATGAGCAGCTTGCCTTAAACCCTTATCTGGCCTGTAGAGAACATTCTCTTCCCCAGTGACCTCCACAAATATCCCCATATCTGAGTTTCCCATCTGCTCTTAGGCAGACCAGGCAGCACACCACGTGTTACAGCTTGAAAAACTCACGCTTTCTTCTGAGCACCAGGATCCTCTTCTTGCAAACCTTCCATTTCCAAAACGCCAGCATGGCCCCAAGGAGCACTGCCACGGAGAGAACCACTGCCCAGAGCACCACACCTGCAGCACAGACAGGGAGCACAGGGCAGGCTGAGCAAGGGCAGAGGGAAAGCCCTGAGTCGATCCACGTCTTTGAACGTAGGACCACAGACATCATTTCACCAGTCAGAGGGGATTTGCAGGAAGTTCCCACATAAAAATTGTGTTTACCAAAGATAATTCCAAATCAAAAGTGCTAGAGAGAGTAAATGCTGTGTCTTTGTTACCTCCTATTGTCATCTTCCCCTTGGCTGAGGTGGGAGAAGTGCCAGCCTGAGCTTTCTCCTCAGGAGTTGAGCTGGGATTTTCAGCTGTTGTGACACTTAGAGGGTCACCACTAGCCGAGGTCACCAGGCTCTCCTTAAACATCCTCAGGTCAAAGTTATTTGTTTCATTGCTGAATCTCATGGACAAAGTGCTTGGGGTGAGGTAAGTGGGCAACTGGTCCAGGCAAACTTGATCGTGAGTAGCATTTCCTTTCCTTAGCGTTACTTTGTTCAGCTTGGCACAGCTGGGCATGGAAAAGAACAGGTGTCATTGAAAAAGAACAGATAGCACTGAAAAAGAACAGGTATCATGGAAAAAGAACAGGTATCATGGAAAAAGAACAGGTATCATTGAAAAAGAAGAGGTATCATTGAAGAAGAGCAGGTATCATTGAAGAAGAACAGGTATCATTGAAAAATAACAGGTATCATTGAAAAACAACAGGTATCATTGAAGGAGAACAGATATCATTGAAAAATAACAGGTAGCATTGCCCTGGTACAAGGCACATGCGTTTTCCATGTGACAAACATCCCCTTGGCCATTTTTGTGCCAACCACAATTATTGTTTTCTGTGTAAAAGTCACTATTCCTCTCATCCCTGTGGCATTAATTCTTGGCCTGGATGCAAAGCTGATACTCACACAGGTGTGCAATTCCACTGTACTTAGTAAACTAAAAATGAAGCAAGCAGGATTCCTTTTGTCCCTTCTCCTCCAGCCCAGAGCTGTGCAACTGGTACTAAGAGAGGCCTCTGCACATGAGCCCATGGAGATTCCCTTGCTTCTCAGATGAATTTGTATACTTTGCACCAGAAGTGACATCCTTTATTAATTTCAATCCACGAGCCAGTCCCATTGAAGAAGCACAGACTTACTTGGTGTGGGGTTTGCAGACGTCTGTGCTGGAGCTTTGATCAGAGAAGGTCCCAGGAGGGCACTCTTCACACGTGACATCATTCTTTGCGGTGCCTGAACAAAAATCACAACTGAGGACTGACAAAATAAAACACACCAGGTCCAGGCCTGTGGCCAGGAAAGGCAGAGTGGACGGGCAGGGATTCCTACCCCTGATTTTGACTCCAAAGCCAGGCTTGCAAGCAGAGTGGTGCTGGCAGCGTGAGCAGCTGTTGAGCACGGGGAGCCGGCAGAAGAGCCCCGGGCGGCACTCGCACACGCGGCCGGAGCTGAGGGAGCAGGGCTGCTTCTCCACCAGGTCCAGCTCTGGAACACAGGCAGTCGTTGGGAAGGATGGAAGTTTGGCAAGAAAGTCTCACTGATACGTGTGGTGGATACCCCATGAATCTTGACTTTGTGTTTTAGAAGGTATTGTAATACAACATATATTATAATATATGTTATATTACAATACTGTACTAAAAACTGTACTAAAAGACTAAAGAGGAAAAATATCATCAAAAAGCTAGAAAAAAACAGAAATAGAATGCATAACAAAGACTCCTGACTCCCCAGAGTCCGAGCCAGCTGCATCTGTGATTGGCCATTAATTAAAAACAACCAACATGCACCAATCACAGATGTGCCTGTTGCATTCCACAACAACAGATAATTATTATTTACATTTCTTTCCTGAGGCTCCTGAGCTCCTCAGGAGGGAAAAGTCCTAGCAAAGGATTTTTCATAAAATATCATGACTGCAGATATGTATGCTTAGCAGAAAGATTTTTGAATGTAGAAGCTGAAGAAGGAATAGAGATGGAAGCAAGTTTTGATACAGAAGAAAGGAATTGCTGAGCCAGTCTTAGTGGATAACCAAGGAGGCAAAGGGTATTTTAGTTAGAAGGGGTTTCTGTGGCTTAGAGCAAAGGATAAACCCACCTCAAACAAAATGTTTTTATCAAGCAGAAAGATAGCACAGGCAAACAAGTCTGCTGATGTTGCAAGTAGAAAAAAGGTCTCAGAATTTTCCACTGAAAACTGAAAAACAACTTCTAGCTTAAACTGTAATGCACTAACTTTAGTGATTGGAGAATAGTGACATGAATATGGTAATTGTAGTAGTTATGATAGGCTATAGATAAAAGTTAAGGTACAGATTGGTTCTGGCTTTGGACACTTCCAGGGATGGAACAGCCACAGCTGCTCTGGGCATCCTGTGCCAGGGCCTGCCCACCCTCCCAGGGGAAATGCTTCTTCCTAGTACCCAATCTAAACCTGCCCTCTTTCAGTTTAAACACATATAATGGTAATTTATGAATAATTAGAGAAGCCTGTAGATAATAGCTTGTAATATAAGACAGAAAGCAGAAACCAGACTGGGATAGCATTGGAGGGGAGAATTTTTAGGTAGGTCACACAGGCAGTGACATGGATTGTATCCAAGGTAACATTCTGCTGCCTAACTCAGCAACCAAGGATAATTTTGCTGTGGAAATTCTAAAGGAATCAAATACAAATTAAGTGTAAATAAAATATACAGAGAAACAGTGTAACTGTGAGGTATGTGTGGAAAAAGCAAACCTTTTAAGCATGACACACAAGCATCACATCGTGGCTTTTGGGATTCATTGCTCAAATACTCATTAGGCCCACATGTCATGCAGTCTTCAGATGGATCCCGAGGACATGCTTTCTTTTTAACATAGCCTGGAGGAAAAAAAAAAAAAAAAATCAAAATATTCAAGACACCTATCCAAAATGGGCAGAAAACCTTCCTGAAATGTTCTTGTCAGCTTGTTTACCTGTTAGACACATTACCACAGTCTTCTCTTAGTTATTTGGTTTCTCTAGGACATTTTTGCCTTTCCCATTCAAGGGCTAAGGTAGAGGGCCAGGACACAATCCCAGCTGGGATGGACTGCTGTGGAATGGGCACATGAGAAGTCATTTGCTGACAGAAAAGACATCCAAGTCTCCATGAGGGCCACTTGAATTATCGTGGTGCAACATAACAGCCATTGTCCTGCCACTGCTAAGCTCCCGGGGAACTGGGTTTCATGTTTCCTTCTGTTCTTCATTTGATTCAAAGGACTTTTCTAAAAGCTCCTCTTTCTTTGCAGTGAGCAGCTGAGTCAGTAGCAGATACGAACAGGTTGTGGTTTGAAGGAGCAGTGGATGATTACGGTGGAAAAGGATTCTTGTAACTTTTATTGTGGAGGAGTCCAGGACTGAATGAGGATGTAGCAATAAAGAATCAGCAAAGGTGAACTCATTATTACAGCCTGGTGTAAACCAGATCTCTGCTTCTCACCCAGCCTTACTATGACACCCCTCATGACAGGAGCTTTGGTTTTGGAGAAGTAAAGAGCTTTTCTTGGGAATGTCAAAGTCACATCCCACCCATTTTTTCTTTTATTGGACCATTTTGTTCACCCCTTGCCTGAAGGGCTCCAGTGGTGTGCCCAGCAGCACAGGATGCCCCAGGGGGATCCTGATGGAGCTGGATGCAAATATTGGCAACCAAACTCTAAAGCCCTCTGTGCCACAGAACACAAATACAGGACAGAACTTTCCTTTGAGAAAAACGAAAGAAAAAGACTTCTGCAAGAAGATACAGATGGTGCTGAATAAAATACCCACCCACCGAGGGGGTTCTGACCAATGGGGCAGTTCCAGACACTTCCTGAGCTCGTGTCTCACCAAGGTGTTTCCTGCTGCTGACCTTGTGTGCCTCTGAGTCACACCAGCTTCTAGCACAGCATAATGTGTCCCCTGCTTCCTCCCTCGTGTGAGACACTTTCTAAACTGTTGTGACTATGAGAATAATGTCAGATTTTCCAAACCTTCATTTTACATTGTTTCATCTCTGAGAAGAAAGTCATTTAGCCTAATTTCACTGTGCTAATTCACACCCAGGGGCAAGTTTTGAAATGAATTCTTCGACCTGGCTACTTCAGTGTCAAGTGATGTGATAAAAATATTTTTTTTAAATTTAAAATTTATTTAATTTATGTTAATCATAAAATTCCCATTATAATTTTATAACATTATCTGATTTGCATGCAGACTACACAGGAGCAGGACAGTGGAGAAGAGATTCACATCTGGAGCCACATTAGAGAGTGATTCATTAAATTGTCCCTTTCTTCAGGGACAAAACACAGCTCTGCAGATACACAGGGTTCCTACTGTTTCCATGAGAAGGGCTCCATATAAATGGGGCTGAATTATAAACATACCTGAGGGACACTGGTAACAGCAGTTTTGTGAAGTTTCATCATAGAACCAATTATCTCGTGTATCACAGGAATGAGGTGGGGTTAATGACGGCTAGAAATTGAAAAAGACGAAAGACACAATTAGAAAACAATTCATTCTGTACTAGAGCAGATCCCAATGCCTGTCTTAAGCAATGGTGGTTGCAGACAGTAAGGAAAAGCCCACAGTTTTTTGAAAATTATTGTCTGTATTTCCTTTAGAAACATTGCAGCCGTGAGAAAAAGAAAATAAAATTACTGCCCTAAAATTATTTCATGTTAATTGGAGCTAAGGATTTCGTGTAATCCACAGAGGTCATTCCTGTTTGCAGTATCCAAGTTTTCTGTTACTTATGCAGTCACACTGTTTGAATTTAGCAACCTAAGTGTCTATTATAAACCAATAAATTATTTTATGTATCATTTAGGGACAAATCCTGCAGGAGGATTTTGCCTTGAAAATAATGCTGCAGATACTCCCATGATGAAGCCCTTATTCAAATAACTGATCCCACTTCTGTTGTGAGTGAAGGTTTTCAGAAATAACCTTTCATCATTACATAACTGATATTTATTTAGTTAAAAAACCCCATAAAATAGTTTTGATATTAGCTTACAAAATGACACCCAGCTACAACTTGTAACAAGAATTATAAGATTTAGCTTTTGTATGTCTGGGCCACTACATGCTCTGGGAAATTACAGTGCTGCAAGTGTTCTGATGAGACATCTGATTTTTGAACTTGGCATCTCCCTTAAGAATCCCCTAAAAATGTTGTTATCTGAGATTCATTTTCAGTATTTACTAGAAGGTATGAACAGTGATTTTTTGGGGGGTTTTTTGGGGGGTTTTTTGTTAAGAATTGATAAGCAGATTCTGTGGAGATTTTCCCACAAGATACTGGTAGAGCAGTTAAATATTTCAGAAACTCTACGTCTCACTTTCTGCCAATGAATTTCCCACTGGTCTTTGAAATAATACTCGCTGTCACCAGCTGCCTTTGTGCACTGTGCAGAATCTCACCACCTAACTCATTTCACAGCCAGTTCTCCTATTAAACACACACAAAATAGAAAAATTATTTAACTTCCGTCAGAAAACAGGAGCTTTCAGTCAAGGAGGAAATAAACAGAAGAACAAGAAATAGCAACATATCGAAACCATTAAATTTCATGTAAGTGCAGTAACAGAAGTGAAAACTCTGAACGTCTCTGCACTGTAACCCCTGGGCTTCCCTATGAGCTCATCCTGCCTCTGGAGCCAGAGCAGGAGTTTGTGCCTGCTCAGCCTGACTCAAACCACCTTTACAAAGGCACCCCGTGTTTTCCTGCTCCGAGGAGGAAGAAAAGGCTGGAGGAGAAGGAAGTGGTGTCTCCTCATCACGTGTGGCATTCACATTCTCTGAAAAAAATCCCAGGATTTTTCTCCTGGGAAGCTGAGAAGCCTCTGAGAAAAGGAAAACAATTCTGATCTCATTTGCTTCTCCTGTGCTGTGCTCATGTGGAATGTGTTTGGAGATTGTTCACCCACAGGTGATTGTTTCAGTGCATTCTGCTGTGAGTTGTTTTCACTCTTTGGCCAATCAGGGCTAGGCTGTGTCAGGACACATTTTCATTATTATCTTTTTAGCCTTCTGTAAGTATCCTTTCTGTATTCTTTAGTATAGTACAGTATTCTTCAATATAATATAGTATAATAAAGTAATAAATTAGCCTTCTCAGTAAGTGGGGTCAGACTTATCCTTCCCTCCTTTGTCAGGGCTCCCTCCAAATCCAAAACTCACCTCTGTGTGCAGGGGTGCCCTGGACAGGCAAACACCCCCAGAAATGGCCAGTCACCACCAAAAGGTCAGTCCTGAGTTACTTAGTGAATTAACTTTTCTATAAAGAACATTCCAGAAACAATAGCATCCTGGCTGTAGCTAAGCCAGCCTGGATTGGTTTCTCTGCAGGAGCTGTGGGAAGTCACCATAAACACCTAATTTTTTCTTCCTGGTTCTCTTGGGCAAGCAACTCTGTCTGCAAATGGAGCTGAATTTTAAACAAGAGTACAAACCCTTGAATCATTGAATTACTAATGCAGCACATAAGCCTACATCTTATTTAATTGTCTAGTTTGAGGTTTAAATTATAGAATAGTGTCTGTGTAAAAATGTGAGAGAACAGCTTTTTAAAAAGTTACCTCGCTGAGAATATGAAAATCAGGAGTTTAGTATTAGATTCTGCTCCTGGTTCCAACAGTGCACGTTCTGATTATGAATTTGACCTGCTGGTAGTGCAGTGATAAATCACTAGGCCTGCATACTAAACAGATTATGCAGATATATATATGTGAGAGAGCACTCAGGCTTATTTTCCCCCTTTCCACGGGAGGGCAGCTCTGCACTAGAGCCACCCACATCTCACAGATCATCCCTGGCTCCTCCACAAACGCTGCTGCCAAGGGTCCAGCTGCAAGCACAGCTTTGCAGGCACCTGTGCTGCTGCTGAGCCAAACCCAAGGTGCTCTGCTGTGAAAGAACACCCCTCAATTACTGTGAAAAATGAGTATTTTATGATTGGCTTTTTGCAAATATTAAAATGAATATTATATGGGTTATGTTAGAAAGTTATGCTGTGTTCATTTTCTTAAGTAGTGTGTTAAATATAGTTTGAGGTTATAACATAATGCTAAAATAGAAACTATACTATGTAAGGTACTTTTTTAAAAAGAGAGAAATGAGGTACTCACACCAGATAGCAGCCACAGGACACCTAAATCTTTCAGAGAAAAAGAATTTATTGCTCCATTATCACAAGAAGCTTAACTTCTTCCCACCTCGCTCAGCCCTGAAGATGCCTCAGGATTCAGAGGAAGAAGCTGACCCTGACCAGACAGAATCCTCTGTTTGAATGGAATTTATGCATCATGGGTGAGCTGTATGAATATGGAACAGGCTATTGCTTTTAAGGGTTAATCCTCTGTTAATGTGGGTCCTTTTTCGGGCTTATTTTGCCCACAAAGAGGTACCCGGACTGTCCCTAACTCTTTGTTTTTATTCTCTCATATTGTCCTAAATCCTAATTGTCCAAATTTTTATTACTTTCATTTTATTACTCTTTTTATAACCATTTTATTACTATTAAACATTTAAAATTTTAAAAACAAGTGATTGGTGTTTTTCACAATTACCCCATCTCTAAAAAAAAAACCAACTTAATCCAACAGAAATTAATTTAAACAAATCACAGCAGGATGTCTATGACTGGGAAATCACCTTCTGAAGACCCAATCACATCTAATCTATAAGCAAAATGCCTGTAAGTCAGCATCTGTTCAGTAGAGGTGTTTCATGAGTATAAAAATCAGTACAGATCCTTTCAGTGATGAATAACCTCCATGTCAACGCTCAGCATCAGTCACCATGCCCCCATTCTTGTCATCTTTTCCCCTCCAGATTCTAAAGCTGTTTGACTCCTCGTGTGACCTGTAACAGCCACACGAGGATGCAAAGTTCTGCTCTTAGCTCAGCAGGAAGGTTGGTTCCCAGCACTCTCAAAGGCTCAATGAAGTTTTATTGCAATAACTTCTGCTGCTGTCATTAGAACTTCCACTTCTGTTTGTAAATGTGTGTTATAAAAAACCCTTTAACATTCGAGGAAGATCACACATATTGGATGAGGCATGTGGCTGTGGTGGACAGCAGGTCTTTATCCTTCTCTCTGATTTTCTCTTTAAAGAAAGGCTGTGGATTTAGCAGGAGCTGGAATACATCTTGTCAAAGGAAAGATGCCAATTCCCATCCTGCTGGGACTGCTCTGTGACAGCAGGCACAGGGATGCACTGGTTTAGAGCTTTCAGTCACCCAGCAAGTCAACAGTTTGGTTTTTTTCTTTTCTGAATGCTTTGCAGATCAAGGACCAATTAAATAAAGCAAACAGATCAAAAGTATTTGGGTTTTTCAGCACTTGCTTGAGAGGATTTGTTTTAGAAAATAGGCTTTTTACAGCTCTTCTGACTTTCCTTATTTCTACAAAAATGTTTGCTATTCCAGTTTAAATAATGGCAGTTGTAAAGGTGGTGCTGAATTCAGTGGCTACTCTGCAATTCAGTCAGGACAAGGTTTGACTCATTTATGTATGGTTTTTTGAACTCATAGAGAAAAAGTGATTGTGAGGCAGAGTAAGAAATTGGCTTGCTACAAATGAGCTGTAAGTCAGGAAGAAAGCATATTACTGTAAAAAAAAAAAAATCTACCAGCAGTGGCTATTCTAGAACTGACTAATACTGCAGCAAAACAGTTAACTGTCTGTCAAGCTTCCATCCAAACTCTGACAGTACAGAAAAAGCTGAAAATCTACAGCTTCAAGTGGTCAAGCTTCATTTGCTTGATAGTAAAGACATTATCAACAAGTGAGAGTTCTGTGAATATAAAGAGAAACAAAACCCAGACTGTGGACTGAGGTAAGGTGGAACATGGTTTAAAAATATGACCACTAAACAGTAGAAAGTATCACTTGTGCTCCATTAGCAGAGCAAGCATTGCTGTGAGAGAGGCAATGCAGGACAGGGCAAGGCAGCTCCTCATCCCAGCAATGTCTCTGATCACTTTACAGGGAGGCAGAATACTGACAATGAGTACCAGAAAATTTTCTCCCTGCCCCATTCATTTTGTGAACAGACCACAAAAAGTGATGTCAAAGAGAAAAAGTATCATCTTTTTGTTTCCATTGGCTTTCCTCCTGAAGCAGTGTGCAATCACACACTGGACAAACTTGTCTGAATGCCTTCCCAAGGATTACAGACTCCAATCCCACAGAACATTTGTCCCTCTGTACTTCAGCAAGGAGACATTGGCAGCACAGATAACATGGGGAAAGTAAAGCAAACTTGCAATGTGGGAGGGGAATTTACAACGAAAGACACAAGAGCAAACTGCCACCAAAAGAACCAGGAGGATCTTTTTGAAATGTCTATGAAGAGGGTACAGAACTTGGTTATTTTCAAAGATTTAACTGGAGTCAGTGTCTTGCAAAAAAATCTGGCAGCCCAAGTGATGTGCTGGATTTTTCAGTTGCCATGTACTGACAGGTGTCTTAGGCTAATCTGTGCTTGTATTTCCACTGTAAGGGAAATGTAAGGGAAATGTAAGGGAATATGGCTCATTTCCCATCCAACACTCCATGCAAATACTCACGTACTTGACTTTACCTGGCCAGTCTCTCTGTGCCTGACCTTTCTACTTTTTAAATGTGAATTTTTACGTGTCAGTCAGGGAAATCACCTGGATTTATGCCAGGTGCTGAGGGCTCCTTGCCATGTGAGGAGGGGACCAGTGGCAGTGTGTGGGTGGAAGCAAACCCACGAGAGCTGATACGATCAGAGCAGGGAGCTGGTGTGCATCTACAGCATCAGCTGAGTTCAGCTAGTGGGTTGTGTCTGTTTGAAGTGATTTTTGGTTCAGAAATAGCAGTGGATTCATGAGGAAATCAGTGTGAGTAGGGTGGGGGGTGTAAAGAAGAAGGTCTATTATTGTTTAGCCTCTACACCTTTCAATTTGCCCCTCCTGACTTGCATCAGCAGAGTGGGCAGCAGCCCTCTGAACCAAGATCTGCAAGGAATGTGCAGAAACAGAAGCCCCCCACGCCATGAACCCTTCCCTCACCCCTGGCTGTGATGTGCCTGGGGCTGCAGCAGCTCCAGCAGTGCCAGCAAGGTGCAGATCCCAGCTCACATCCCACATTCCTGCCTGTGAAGATCCCAGAGAGGACAGATTCTCCTGGCTGCTCTCTTCATGCCTTCATCTCCTGAGAGCTCTGCCCACCACCTTTAGCCCACTGTGTTGCACAAGCCCTGCTTCTGTGGACACCCACCCAACACCCATGGCTCTGCAGCCCCAGTGCCCCAGACCTCACCTGAGGAGCTGCAGGGTCCTGGTGTCCCCCTGCCTTACCTGTGGGGTGGTCTGGATGTCCTGGAGCAGCAGCAGCAGCCACAGTCCCAGAGGCAGGCTGCAGGCAGCCATCTGAGGTGGAGTTAAATGGCCCTGGCTGCCAGCACTGCAGGTGACACAGATGGGATGTCCCTTCTGGAGGCTGAGACCCTTCCACGGTCCCAAGTCATGCTCCTTGCCTGCTCCTTCAGTCCAGAGTCATTCCAGCTGCTCAAGACAAGCAGGCAACAGGCTTTGAGGCTCAATTGAGTTGAGGAAACAATTTAGAAGGAAGGGGGAGGGGGGCTGCCCCAAAAGAGAAAAGTAAAAATAGAACAAAACAAAACTGCCTCAATGTGTAGTCCTGGTGCTGGCAGTTTCTGCAAGTCAGTTGTGAGAATCAGGGTTGTCACCCAAGGCACAGGGCTGGCTGTGCTCAGGCTCCTGAGTCATCTGTGCTGCTCTCAGAGAGCTCTTCACCACCCCAAAGCCTTGGCCAGGCACAAGTCCAAGCCCTGCCCCAACCAGCAGTCACTTTTTCAAGAGCTGCAACCAAGCCTCAAGGAAGTTCCCAGTAAAAAATGCTAATTCTTTCAGTACAGTCATTCTGCTCCTGTTTGGATGAGTGGGTGAAGACTCACAATCAACCATGGTGACTCCTCTAAGATTTAGGCTTCACACTTTGCCACTTCAAATACCAACACACTACACACCTTCCCTTAGAGAAACCTTCCCTTTCCTCCAATCCCAGGAGAAAATAACTCCTGCTGATGACAATCATCCTTAAGACTGTACTCATCATTTCACTCACTTTCATTTGTTACTCTGGATGGTTTTTGTTCTGATGCCTGGAAATATTTCAGTTGGTTGAAGATGTCATGAAGCCTCCTTATCTGCCCTAGAAGTATAGTCAAAAGTGAAGGTTAGCCACTTCAAAAAGGCAAAGTGCCTTGAAAACCCTCTGAGGTACACAGGAAAATAATGACAATTTGAATTCTCACGTCTCTGGGTTGTTTTTTCTTTGCTTCGCGCCCTTATCAACAACAACAAAAGAAAGGAAAAATACTAAAAGTCAGATAAAAAATATTTTATTAAAGATCCACAACCACCTCACTGCCATCACAACCAAGCACCAAAGGTGAGCATTCCACAGGGACCCTGTGTAAATATTTATTTTCAATTCACAGCTGCAACAATTTTAACTCCCTCGATTTCTTTCTCCAGAATGCCATCACACAAACCCCAGGCATTTTCAGCACACTGCACACAGTGTGTGACACACAATGCACCTCTCTGCTCAGTTTCCAAGCTCTCTTAGCTATAGAAACTCTTGGAGTAGATTTGCCTTATAGGTCTAGAGACAACTGAGAATTTCAATGCCAAATTAATACATTCTTGATTTTGCTAATTAAATAATGGGCTAGAACACAACTTAATCTTCTGTAGTAATAGGCCATTAGGCAATCATCCCAATTTATTAATGCAGTTTCAAGTAACACAGCAGTCAGGACAATTGATGAGCTCTGTTGTATTTTTTCCTTCCCTTCTGTGTTTTTTTTCCTCTTCCCAGGCCCTATCAAGCCTTTCTAGCTAAAGGACAGGCACCAACACCACAGAGAGCCTGGAAGGTTTAAGTTACACTGCTGAAGTGAAAGTATCTGATGCAACAATTGCTTATGTGAGTACAAAAATCTGTGTGTAAAAGACTTTCCCAGAACCAGGGAGAGTTTTCTGGCCTATTTTCCATAGGAAAACTGAAACGGGCATACTGAGCATTTTTTATACATATGTCTATTCATTCCTTTTTAATGAATGGCATCAATATTTTTTTAACCCATTAGATAACTTCAATTAACTTAGTCTGAGATGGCAATGGCATTAAGTTTTACATGGAATAAGATGGCTTGGATAAAGGGACAAGGTGCTGGTGGCACTCACTGGGGGAAAGGCTCCAGGGTGCTCCTGAGAAGAAAAACTCCACTTGCACATCCAAAGTGAAACTGGACTTCCCAGCTGCCATTCTCCCTTGAACTTCTCAATCATTAAGTTTCTTTCTTGACTGAACTAGATATTTAAAAGGATAGGAAATGGAAAGTGCTTATTGTTGCTGCTGGCTTTTCAGAAAGGCTGTTACATGACAAAATGTTATTACAAGTGTGTAATAAAAGCAACATCGATGAAGAGGGTGAAGAGGTTGTTCCACAGGAACATCACAGTCTGTATGCATTTCCAAGTGAATGCATTTTTTCAGACTTGGTGTATTTTGATTTCAAATACAACAAAAGGGGCTTTCCAAAAGAAGCTCTATCAGTAACTGGAAGAAGCACCTCCATTTTATTACAAACCCACGCTACTGTTCTCTACATGGTGGCTCTATTTCCTAGAAAATAACCTCCCATGTTAATATGAAAAAAACCCCACAGAACAAATAGAAGCAAATAACCAACCCCTGATTCTCTGGTCTTCCATCAAAGGACAATGTCTGTCAGGAAAAAAGGGGAAGGCCCTGTGAGCATGTTGTTATTATTTATAATGTTTATTTGATTACACGTATCTGCCTCTGACACCTGGATCACTTTTTGTTTTAGGTGTTAAAGGGAGTGATGCCCTCAGAGAAGCTTTCTTGGAATTTCCTATTTTAATTCAGAAAACCCTGTAAGTCAGGGGTTGTTCAAATGCCACTTGATACCTGGAGCAGGAGAATGCAGAGACCCAACGAATCCACAAGGGAAAGCCTCCACCACATGCCCAAAAATCCCTTCAGCAGTGTCTGTTCTCTGTGCTCTGACAGTGAGAGCCTAGCAGAGGAAGCAGCAATGGAATATTCCAGAAGGATCATTGGCACACACGTGCTCAAGCAAAAGTGCTCGTGACGTTTTCTAATTTTGAAATGGCTGATTTTAATCTCATGTTGTACTTCTACCGAGGTTTCTTCTGCTTTTAAATATGTATGTTCAGTTAATATAAATCTAGCTGTATAAGATGGGAAAACAAACCACCAAGAGAAGTGTCATCTCTTAACTTCTGACAGATAAGAGACCATGAAATTTAAAAGCATACATATTAAAATACCTAGTCTAAAATCTGTATTTCAGTGTCTGGTAGTGTTGCTATTCAGAGTAATGCCAAACTGATTTTTGCCTTTTTTGCCTTTACATATTCTCTATATTCTTTACATATATATTTATAGCTCTGTAGCCTATTATTGTATTCGTAGCTAGCATTTTATCGACTCTATTAGACAGAAAGACAAAATAAATTCCCTAGTGGCTCCAAGCCCTGGGGGTCCAAGGTTGAAACCAGCTCTCTGAGACACATTTTCATAAAGAAAAATGAGTTCCTACCTAAGAGGGTGGAGGGTTTCAGAAAAGGGTAGAACCAGGAAGGAGTTACTTCATCACCTGTGCCTCTAACTGGGGATTCTTGTCAGTTATGCTAATTTATTAAAGACATAAAAATTGTGTCTGCTTTTTGTTACATGTGCATCTCTGGCACTTTCCCTCTGGTGTTTTGTGCACTGTAAGGATCTTTAAAAAGGGAACCCCTATCATCACCCAACTGTGTCTTGTGCTTTTAGGACCACTGAAACAGCATCAAGAGCCAAAAAAAAAAAAAAAAAAAAAAATCATCAAATTCTTGCCCATTATCCAGATGAAACAACGCCAGAGGCTGAAACTTCATGAGGAGCCCCAGGAGTGCTAAAGGTGGGGGGGGCTGAGATACACACTACACACCTTGGGGTACAAATTAAAAAAGAGAAGAGAAATGGAGGCATTTCCTGCAATGAGAAGTGCAGGGAAGAAGGACAGAAAGAAAGGAAGAAAGCCAGGAATTATTTTCTTTCTGCCTTTCTTGATCTCTTTAGGCATTTCACCCATTGGAGAGCTCTGTGCCTGGGTGGTGACACTGGGAGCAGCACACAGGATCTCAGTGATCTCAGGCATTGTGAGGAAAGCCAACACTGAGCTTCTCAGTGAATCCTTCCACAGCCACAGAGGACAGACAGAGGGAGAGCAGAGGGATCTCACTGAGATGCAGCACACCCTCACTGGGCTTTGAACTGGCTGCAGCTGACACAGTGTTTGAAATCGCACGTGGAGGCAACAGAACCTCATTCATGCCACAGATTGACAAAAGTCTGTCCCTCTATGCCACTGATATTTATTTGGTGACCCATACACTTATCATTCTTAGTATTACATACCTCTCAATCCATTTAATTATGTCACTTTAATGGATTAAATACACTGCAGGTGCTCTTGAGAACATGATCTGAGAGCTGTGTTGATTCAGCAATTTACCTTAGTACATTTGTCCATTGTGATCAACAATGAAGATGGTTTAAAGCTTTTGTTGCACACTTGTTAAAATGCAGCAATGGCTTAAAATGGGGTACCATCAGGAAAGAAAAAGGTTACCATATTAATAACAAAGATAACAGGTCTTAATTTCCAATTACACTCCTTTACATGTCATTTAGATAAATTTTATGTGGACAAAAAAATCTTATATCTTTGTTTTCATTATCTTTACTAATACTACTTCCTTACATCAAGAGATAAAATAAGTAATGTAACAAAAAAAAATCTGTATAAAATGTCTTTTACTGCCCCATAGTAGCTTCAAAACTAAAGTACATTTTGAGTCAGACTGAAAAATGAGAAGAGCTGACAGAGAACTCAGTTCTCTTAAGAAAACTGGGGCTTCTATGAAAAACCAAAATCATATCACAGAATTACTATGTCCACAGGCTGGGAGAGACAGAGAGGGAGAGGGAGGGAGAGAGAAATTACCTTAGATGAGAGATCACACCATGTCTGTACTTTCAGTAATTCTGACTACAGCTTTTGGCATAGTTACACATGGTCATTCTCCATAGAAAAAGCTCTTGGTAAAGCAACTTGAAAAAGCACCAAGAGCTGCAATTCTATGCATTTTAATCCCAAATAGAAAATAAAAAGGTTTGGGGAAGACTGGCCAGGTGGTTAAAACACAGAAGTGGGGCTCATTAGTTCCCCACAGTGTCACAGACCTTTGGGGTAGCTCCTATCCTTTCTTGATACTCTGGTTCTCCTCATCTAAAAGCTGAGTTCAAAAACAGAAACCAGATGAATTTTCCTTTGTGGACACAAACAAAAGAAACTTGGGAAGTATTAAATAATTTTTGTGAAAGAATCAAATGGGAAGATTTTCAGGATGTAGTTTTTCCAAAGACTGTTTCCAGAAACTTCTTTTCTTTAACTAATTGAGCATCTCAGCCTTAAAAATTTAGGGTGTTGTTTTCCTCTTCGGGCAGTTTTGCTCTGCAGAAGCCAATGGAAGGGAGAAAAGCAAGTCCTTAGTTTTGGTCAGCCATTATCCAGGGAGCTGGTGAAATTGAGGGGTTTGAGCCCAAAAAGAAAGGGCAGAACTTCTCCTTTGTCTTCAAATTTGGGACACTCTGAAAACAAATCCTTATGGGCTTTGAAACCCAAGTTCAGGAGATGAAAGCCCCCAAAATCAAAGTTTGCAAATGATTCAAAAAGCAAGTTCAAGCCACATGCAGCTGTTTCACCTGGGAGTTCTGGGGACAGTCACTGCCTGAGGTGCTGAAAACAAAACAGAACACATAAATCAGCACTACATTCATTTAAAACTCTTGATATTAATTCTTACTGGCAGCAAGAAACACCTGATCCTGAGACACCACGAAAATTATCTTAATAGGAGAAGGCAAACAAACACTAAAGACCATCTAACACTGGTACTGAGATGTAGGTGGGAGCTGTATTTTAACAGCTTTATTGCTCTGTTCAAAACAATCACAAATACATCATTTACTGCATCTAATTTGTGTAATTAAGCAAAGCTGGACTTCCCATCTCATGAATCAGTGTTATTTATATGCAATGCAGTCAGAAAGGGGAATTAAACCACCAGCTTTGCTACCAAAACATCAGGCAGAAGAGAACTGACACAAATGAGCACACACAGAGCCAGCCATCAACAGGATACACAGCTGCCCAGACCAAACCAGCATGTTCCTAAGTGCTAAGTATGGGAAAAACATAAATCCAGGAACAGCAGACAAGCTATCCCACACCTCTGTGTCCACACAATCAAGTCCAGTGTTTGTATTATTTTGAGGCTTAGGAAACTCTTGGCCTCAAAACATTTCAGTATTCTTAACTCACAATGCCAACAAGCCCCACACACCCCCACTACTCTCTGTTCTCCCTGGAAATGCAGATCCCAGCACAGAGCCCACTGTCCAAGTGCAGAAGCTGCTTCAACACTGGCTGAAATGCAACTTTTCAAGCAGTAAGTAGATGTGTTCATTTACAATGTACCCCCAGGTGTAGCCATGATATTTTCTGAAAAATCATTTTGCCAGGATTTTTCTCCTGAGGAGCTGAGGAGCCTCAGGAAAGAAATATGAACAATAATTATCTGCTGCTGTGGAATGCAGCATGTGCAGTTTTGATTGGTGCATGTTGGTTGTTTCTAATTAATAACCAAAGATGCAGCTGGCTGGGACTCTCTGGGAGTCACCAGCTTTTGTTATTCATTCCATTCCTGTTCTTTCTAGCCTTCTGATGGATCTTTTCTTTCTATTCTTTTAGTATAGTTTTAGTATATCATTTTAATACAATATATAGTATAGTTTTAGTATAGTTTTAATATATAATTTTAATATATATAATAATATAATAAATCAGCCTTCTGAAACATGGAGTCAAGGTTCAGATCTCTTCACTCATCCTGGAGCTGCTGTCAGTTCAGCCACACCCAGGTGACATCCCAGTCCCCTGTCCTGCAGTTTCAGGCTGTTTGAGCTTGCAAAGGAAGGCAGGATCACACAGGCCAGAACCAAGAGAGACAAAAGTGACTGAGCAGGGGCAGCATCACCAACTTCTTTCATCTGTTTCTAATGGAGGGACACAATCACACCTCCAACACTCCCAAAAGTGTAAAAGACTGGATGCATTCCCATCTATCAAGAGACATTTTGAATTCAACATTGGCTCCAACCTGCATCCACCACAGAGATCTAACATGTTTATAGTGTGGAACAGGCTTGCTGTAATTTATTTCAGGATAAATTAAGGAAATGTTTATGATGTCTTGAGTTTGAAGGCAAGGTAGTAAAATGTTGAATTTGCCCTGTTTGGTATAAAATTTGGCACCTACTGTTCCATAGTCACTGGATTAGTTTATTTTTAAATTAGTATTTCCAATAATGGAAATTATGTGACCAGTTCCATTCAGTTGACCCTACAGGTACATAACCCAAAGCTAAAGTCATGCTAAGTCATGCTTGCAATATTCCTCTCCTTGTTTAAAAAGTCTATTCATGCATTTGATTTAATAAATAATGTATTTCATATAAAAGTAAGTGAATGCCAAGAAGCTGCACAAACCAAATTCATTCTCTCAAGTTAGCTCCCTAAAATGCATTAGAGGCAGGAACTTCTGTTTCAGAAAATTCAAAGTAAAATAAACCATCAGTTTTATTGTTTTCAGACACAGAAAGTAAGATTGGTGTATAAAGTTCAAACAAATCACACTATGTGGAGTAGTTTGGTTTGATACCATTTAAAAATTCTGAAATGCTTTTTGGTTTATCTCCAGAAAACTTGGAACAGTAGAGGTAAGCAAAATATGCAACCATGTCAAGGCATTATCTAGCTCATTGATGAATAAAATCTCATTTTACTTTAACTTTTCTTTCACATTCAAAGTTACTCTGATGTACTACACTCTGTAGCACACATTGCACTGAGAATAAATGGAATTTTAAAAATTTTTACAAATCATTGAGGAACTCAAGTGTAACACACTAGAAAATTGTCTGTCATGTTTCAAATATCTGGAAATAAACATATTTGTGTCACTCCACTGAGCCAGGCCTCCACAGGCCAGCTCCTCAGCTGGCATTCAGAGTTAATGCCACACTGCTCATTACTCAGCTGAGGTGGCAGATGCACTGAAGATCCTGCACTTTATCCAGCCTAGCTGGGACAGTTCATGCAGCTGCTCAGTAGCTGTAAAAGGCAAAAAATGCAAAGTGAACACAGTGACTGTACAAACTCAGGTCTGTACAAATCTGAGTACAAACTCAGATCTGTATATTGGTTGCTCACATAAGTGCATAACTATGAAAACTGGGGGAAATCTGTCCAAATATTTATTTTTATCCAAATTGCTTTGTTTCTGAGCTGTTTCCACGTGCTGTGCCCATCCCTTCCCCTGGGCAATCAAGTCATGATCCAGAGTGTTGAGGGAGTGGGGTCTGAACTGAGAGCTGCTGTCTGGTGTCCTGGTTTGCTCTGCTGAACCTCAGGTGAGCCAAGTGAGGCAGGTGTAGAAACTTGTCAGCTCTGGCTTCTCCCTGAGTGCTGGAATCCAAACAAAGAGGATATTTATTAATCAAAGAATGCCAAAGTGACTTTTCCCATTTTGATGAAGACTGGTGAGCAGAACAGGCTTTTGCTCAGCTCCACTTGCTTTTTTGTCTCTGCACACCAATCAGCAGAAGGAACACATTTCCCAGTAGTGACAATGAGATACTCTTCCAGGCATTTTTGTTTGCCCTCAGTAATCACAGCCTTTAGAAATGGGGCTGCAATTTCCATTTGTGCAATTCCCAACATCTGCTGGGACTCCAGAGGCTGTGCTTACCAGGTGAGAACAGGGAGAAGGCTTCTCTTCCAGGGAGGTTCTCAGATCCAAACTGCTGAGCAGGGTGCTGCTGGAAGGAACCATGTTTTCCCAGCCAGCCATGCAATGCTGTGAAAAGAGATGGGAATGCTCTTCCTTTTTTATCTATTGTGGCCTGTTATTATTTATAAGTTCTGCACAGGGAGGTTTAAGTGAGTAAATAATCTATTATTTTTGAGGAGTTTTATATGACTAACAGGAAATAAATGAGATCTTAAATAAAGGAGAACAAAACAGTTGTCTCCTCTTCCAGCTTTCTAAACTGATCTCCCAGTTTGTGAACTCAAGCACCTGACCCCTCTGAACCTGTCTCAACTGACTCATCCAGTTCCCTAAACCACAGAACTAAACTTCCTCCCACCTCTTCCCTGGAAATCTCCAGGCCTGGGCCAGGTTAAATTAACAACACTGCCTGCAGCACTGACTACTGGCTGGAATACAGGACCAGAGGTACAACACCAGTTTTAAATCCACCCTTTCCACTAATGAGTTTGTGAATACTTTATAAACACTTGCCTTTCAGACTCCTCAACATGTGTGGAAACAAACACAGGTACTCCTAGCTATGGTTCATTGTGTTGAGAGGCCAATGCCTGGAACAAATCAGCCAAATCTCCACATGGCACTTTCTTTTGTGCAGTGTAAAGCATTGGAAATATGTTATATACTTTATGTCCCTCACACAAAGGCATGAACTCAGAACACACCAAAGGATGTTCTGGCTATCTCAAATGCTATCTATCTCTCTTGACATGCATATCAAAAATTTTAGTGGAAACTCTGCCAAGGGAATGAGCCCCAGATTCTCTTTCCTTCTTGCTATACAGCAAGGCCCAGCTGGGGTTGTGCCATCAGCAGGAAGAGAGCAACTTACCGAGGGCAGGGCAAGGTCATCTGCTGGCTCAAAGCTCCTCCTGCGGTGGGCTTTGTACTTGTGGGCTGGCAAAAGGGCAGACCTGGGAATGCTGACCCTGGAACCACACAAGGGGAGTAACTGCCCACACCTCTGCCAAGGCACAGGGAATCTGCAATGCCTTCCCACTCAGAATCCAAGGGTCTAACCCCAAAGTGAACCAAGTGAACCATTCTGGATTAGGGCAGTAGACACTTTACATGTACATTCAGATTCTGGACCAATTTCAGACAAAACGTGCATTTCTCATTTATTTCAAGACTGTTTGTGCTTATAGAAAAGATCAGTACAGAGTTTTTAAGCAAGAGATCTCTGCCTTGAAAACAGTAACCTTCTACAGAACTGTTGGGATGGCTCTTTTCTCCTTCACCTGATCAGATTTTCTTTATTGTTCCCTTGAGTTGTGCACATTACAAACAGTGATTCTTATTTACCTGACATAGGCTGGCTCCTCCAGTGTCCCTGGGGGCTGTTGGCTACGTGGGACCTTACACACAGGGCAGGCAGATTCTGAATCCAAAGGGATGGTAAAGAGGCGCTGGTTTAATCCATAACAGTAAACACCTGCACAGAGCAACAAACCTTCATCATGGCTCTTGTTTGTCACAAGGTGCCTGAACCCAGCCAAAAAAGCTGTGTTCTATCACATCTGCATTCTATAAAAAGAGCTGCTTTTCCTGAAATATCTTATACATTTCCTGTCCCCAAGTAAGTTCCTAAAAAGCAAAACCAAAACTTCAACCTCTTCAATTTAGAAACAGAACATTAGCCAATTACAAAAAAACCTAACAAATTAAAATAACACTGAGAGTGGATCCCTAGAAGACTCAAGTATCTTTGGAGTAGGATGTTGAATCTGGTTGAAAAGCTGCAGCTGAAAATAACACATTCTTGCTGGTCTTGCATGATGTGGTGCTCTCTCAGGATGACAGGCAAAGACTGCTTAGTTGTTGATTCACAGAAATTGCATTATGAAGAAATATGATCTTACACTTATGAGAACCAATTATCAAATCCAGTTCTTCTTCAGGACTTGTGCAATCCAGAGCCTCGGGCCTAAAGAAACACACAAGAAAATCAGTTAGTGACAGAGGGGCTGGCCCTCTGAACAGCACTGCCTCTTCCAAGCACACATGACTGAAAGGTGAATAAAGACCCTCAAAGCCAGGCCTGCAATGTCCAATCAGATTATGCTTATCATTACTACAGGGATTACTAAGGGACTGAACATTGCTGCTTCAGCCCTTCCCCATTCCCACTTACTCCAGGGGCTGCTGATGAATACAGGTTTCTCTGTTGGACTGTCGGAACTCCTGCAGCTCAGCAAAGTATTGCTCAGATTTTTCTGTTACTGGAGACTTTGTATCAAGAAGCCCTGAGAACACCAAGGAAAGAGAATGATTTAATGGTTTTCAACGATTTACAAAATTTGGGAAAGTACCAAAGCAAGCCTCACAAGATACAGTCAAAACAAAATAATGATAATGAGAAGGGCAGAACATCAGGTCCAGCCAGAGATTTACTGTGTGATTTGAGTCCCTTACTGCATTCATTCATTCCAGGTATTTGGATCCCTTCTGACCTCACCATTTGCTGCCTGAATTCCCATTCCACTGCCACCTCACCACTCCAGGTAAGCACAGGTCACCTCTAGTCTGGAGAGGAGCCTCAGACAAAGCTGCAGCCCCTTTGCTGGGACCTGCTCATTGGCCCTAAGACAGCAGCTCCATCACACCCCAAAGGGGTCATAAACTGTGTTTTAACTCTAAATATCACCACAACACACTGAGAGCTTTGCTTCAGAGCTAGGATTCACCTGCAATCCAGTCATAGCCCAGTAAAGGATGGGCAGACCAGCTGCTGACAGGTATGGCATCTTCTTCAGGCTCAGGCTGAAAAGTCACATGGCGAGCTTCCTTCTGAAAGAAAACAATTCAGAAGGACTTCCTAATCACCTGGCAGGACAGTCAAAGGTACAGCTGAGGAGACAACCCAAATCTGTTCAGATGGACAGCTGTGGCTTAGCTTGAGACTGGATTCCATCCATGCCTCTACCAGTAATTTGCTCACCAGCTCTTTGTCTTGTCGGTAAATAAAACAGAAAGAGGAGGCAGGGACTTGCCCAAGTAAGGCAGGAGTTTTTAGAGCTTTAAACAAAATGCTGAGCTGCATCACACACTGCCAAAGATGAGACAACCTGGGCTGCCCTGGAGGATCACAGCCAGGGCCTGCCCTTCATGCCTAAGGAGACAAAGTGTGGGACAGCAGCACTGCCCTGCCTGCCCTCCCTCAGCACATGGATGACATATGCAAAAGACAGACAACACTTCACAGTGAAGTGTTACAGATTTCTGGATTTCAGTTACTGGCTAAGGAAAGCAGGGCCTGAACAAACTGCCAACAGCCCCTGGCTGCTTTAGCTGGGAACAGTTCTGACCCCAACTTCCAATTTACACAGTGGGAACAGGGCAGGTAACGTTGTCCTGGCCCTTCCTCCTCATCATTCTGTTGACTTAGGAAAATAAGAAAAGCATTGGTTTAACATTTACCTTTGGCTCTTTGGATGGAGACATCAGCAGGGCTGATTTAGGGATGTGGGGCTCTTTGATGACCACATGCTGCTCACTGGTCTCTTTATTTTGTGATGGCCCTGGATGACTTTTCTCATGGAAACCACGCAGCAGAGCAGACTGTTTTCTGTTCTCTCCATGTCCCAGGAAGAAGGATTCTTTCTTTGGACTTGCTTGAGCACCACCATCCCCACCCACTCTGGAGATTTCTCTGCCACACCTAGTGACTGCTGACACTGGCATAACACTCTTCTCTTTCCCAGGAAAGTTGGAATTGAGGCCTGCTCCTTCCTGTGTCTTTGCTTGCTGTTGCTGTACCCCTCTGGCACTGCTGCTGTGTTTAAGAGATGAGCTGAGGGCTGGGCCAGCCCTGGCTTCCACAGACACCATTATTCCAGGGGCAGCTGTAGATTTTACTGCATCAGCCTCATTTTCCTTCTGTAAGGACACACTCTCTTAACACATATCATCAGCCACACTACAAATACCTTTTGTAAGAACTTTTCACTCACTAAATCAACCTCTCATTCTAGTCTGTTCACTCCTTTAAATTCCTGCAGGGGAAAAAGAAAAATCCTGGGGAGTATAAGAAAGAGATCCACTTCCAGCTAAATGCAGCTTTTCCTAGTTTGAGGAACCATTGAACTTTCAGCCCTTGTGCTTAGAAGAAACAAAAGGATTTTGTTCCACAATGCTCATTCCTATCTTAGAAGAAACTTGCTTTTCTTAGGCAGAACTGATCTCCAAACCCTCTACCAGGAGAACAGATTGAGACCACAGAGTAAATAATAATAACCAAAGGACCTTTTTAATAGACTCTATATTCCAGTTACCACTTTCTAAGAGCTCTTTCATATCCATATTTCTCCTTGACCACACCAAACCACGGGCAGAGCTGCTGTCTGTTTGCTCCCTGAATTTCTAGCACATACACCACACATACCACTCTCCTGGACAAGGGGATCCGTCTCTCAGCAGCTGTACTGCCATGAGGAGCTGCTGGACGGAGTTTCTTGCTGGGAAGTACTTTTCTGATCTCCTCCTGCTTCATTCTCAGCCTTTGCAGCAGCTCCTGGTTGGCCTGGCGCAGCCTGCTCAGGAGCTCTGAGTCCATCCTACAAAAACATTTTAATATAAAGCCAGAAGAAGGGTGAACTACATAAATTCACTACATTTCTGGAGCTCTGGGTCCATCCTAAAAAACACTTTAATGTAAAGCCAGAAGAAGGGTGAACTACATAAATTCACTACATTAAGTGAAGAAGCAGACACACTTTCAGAGGACTTTTCCTAAAAAAATACTTACAGCTGTTGAAATGTTGATTCTTGCTCCTGAGAAATCAGCCAGTCTCAAAACTCCTTATGCTCAGAACCAGCACAAGATGCTTCCCTCCCCTTGGACATACTGCCAAATATTTTGCACTCAGAAACTGGGAGCTGACTTAATGGAGAAAACAAACTCTGACAGAGGAAACAGTAAACACAAAAAATTCACATCAAAAAGCTAAATAAAATTTGCTTTAGAGGCTGCTATTTAGGACACAATTATGCAATTCTGCTGTAATGTTCTTTTGAAGCATTGAAATTTATATTGTGATAACACCAGGATGCTTTTAAGTTCAAAATATAACTAATTAACATGAATATATCTGCTACATCCAAAAGAAATACAGAGCCAAAGCTGTCTTCCATGTTCCCTGGGCAAGAAGGCTCCAAAAGGCTCAACTATGACTCAGAACTACAGTTCAGGCAATTCCAATCCCTCAAATTAATTACAATAAATCCCACAAAGGGATGCCCTTCTATTAGAAGAGGGAGGTGAAAAGGAGTTAATAATAAACAGATACATAAATAAAACCTAGTTTGACTGAAAGGCTGTCACATTGTTCAACATCTTTCCAATATCACAAGCTCCTCTAAATTTGCAGAAAGTGGATTTTTAAATAAAACAGCTGCAAACCCTAAACCCAAACTCCCACACTGCTTTTGACCAGACTAATAAATTATGTTCTCACGAAGACTATGTGTTTATCTGGGACCTTTTGTTCTAAAGGATCCCTAAAACCTTCTGCAAAGCTCACCTAATTTGTTTTTGCATCTGCTGCCTTGGCAACTGGACGTGAGGAATCAAATGCACACGTGATACAACAGCAGTGGGAGGAATCAAGAGCAGTGCTAGCTATCAACAAACTACAACACCTCTTTGTTACAAAAAATAAAGGAGAGGTGCGTTACAAAACATAAAATAGGAATATCAGTGTTGAGGCACTAAATTTGAGACAATCTGAAAAAAAAAAACAGTCGTTCTCACAGCCTTCACAGGACAAAGCGAATAGATTTGATGAGCATCCACTCATCATTGCTCATCACAAAGCAAATACTCGGAAAATAACATCAGTCAGGGGACTTTCTGGAAGGTTGAAAAAAAACCAGTAGTTCTCACAGCCTTCACAGGACAAAGCAAATAGATTTGATGAGCATCCACTCATCATTGCTCATCACAAAGCAAATACTCGGAAAATAACATCAGTCAAGGGACTTTCTGGAAGGGTTTTACCAGCTGAGGCCCACTCTTGGCATAATCTACAGGTCCTTCATGTCCAGCCCCGGGGGCTCAGGTTTATGAAACTGCTGTAATTTGAAATCTTTCTGAAAAGGAACTTGGCCTCCCGCAGCTCGGAATAAACAACGGGGAGCTGAGGAGCGTCCTCCGTGTGGGGAGATTGTCCAACACCCCGCGCCGCTTCGGGCCTGCCGTGCGAGCGAGCGAGCCCGAGCACTTTAAACTCCCCTTTCCCAGCCAGGAGGCCGGAAAGAGAACGCTGAACTCCTCCCTCGCTCCCTCCCTGGCGGGGCGGGGCCCGGCGGCTCCGGGGCTGAGCGCTCCAAGCCCCCGCGTTTCCACCGGAAAGAGAAGGGTGAACTCCTCCCTCCCGGGCGGAGCGGGGCCCGGCGGCTCCGGGGCTGAGCGCTCCAAGCCCCCGCGTTTCCCGGCCCACCTGCGCCGCTCCGGGGGCCGCCCGCCCGGCTCCGGCGGTCGGGGGAAGCCCGCCCGGCCCCGGCGGTCGGGGGATGTCCGCCCGGCTCTGGCCGCCGATGGGATTCCCCCGAGGTCACTTTGTTCTATGTTGGCTCGTAATTTTAGGGGTTTTCCTGGGAAAACTGTAAAAATTCGGGGCGCAATGCATTTCTCATCTGCATAGTGGCTCTGATGCCACTCCTATCCTCCTGGTACTTGGGAGGGTGCCGATGTCCCTCCCTGGCAAGCGGCCAGCATCAGGGGGACAATGGTTAATCACCAGCCATTAACAGGTAATTGAAGAACTCCTCTTTAACAGTGAAACTAACTTACAGCAACTGGTCTGACTTGTTTTTAACTCTGCAACCTAAAAAAAATAGATAACTTTCTATTCCTAACACGGCCCGGCCGGCTGCAGGTGCGGGGTAGAGCTCGGGACAGAGCCCTGGCACCACCCTGCCCTCAACGCTCCGTGTCAAAAGGGACACGGACCCCCGGCACTCCCATAGCCCAAAACTCCTCACGGGAAATCCGGCCTTCTCTAACTCGATGTAACTTACCAGCTGAGGACACTGATGCACCAGTTTCAGGCCACCAATTCAGTAGTTGCTCACTATTATTTCCTACAATATTCTCAGAAATCATTGATTCAATGCTGGCAATTTTAGTGCAACTAAAACTTTCTATCAGGCAATTCAGTATCATTGGTCTCCGTGTTAATTTTCAAAGTAAGAACACAGAAAAAGGTCACTAGTGTCAAACATGCAATTCAGTAACACAAAGCAACAAAGCTCTACACGCTGATGTAAGCTGATAGGCTTACACTGGAAACTATCATAACATGCAGGACACATCAGGAGAAATGTTTTTCCAATTCATTTTTATTTTGGTTTCCATTTTTTTACAGCACTGTTACAGGACTAACTCATGCAAATTTATCACCTTAAATACAGCAGAGAGAAAACTCACTGGTAAGAGTATTTCAAAGAGCTCCATCAACATAATGCAACAGGAAAAGTAAGTAGCAGCAATCAGATAAAAGTGCATTTAGCTGACCTTCTTTAAATGGGAGTTTGGGGAAGACTGTTTCTGGAATTACCTGTTTTAAGGAATAGTTTAGCATTCTTTATGAAAATCAGAAGAGAACAAACTCATGATAGTGTTCATTCCTCCACCACTCTCAATTAAAGAAGTACAGCTGTAATTTGTTTCAGAGGAATCCAGCTTATAGGCCTGTTTGATTCTCAATCACTTGGGCTTCCAGGACAAGGATTACACCCACATATGTTAGCAGTTTTGCTTCTGAAAAAATTCAAGTGGTTCTTTCCCCCATTCTGTAGGTTAGGCTTCAGCTCTGCAGTGAGAATGTCAACAGCACCAGGGCCTGAGCAGCATCACACACACAGCAGCAAAACACTGGGTTCTAAGAACCCATCAATCTCTTTTCCCTTCACAGATAAGACAGTGGCTTAAAGATCAGCTCCTTTATCAGATTTCCCCTAAAAGCCTGCTGAAGAGACAACACTACCTCGTCAAAAGCAAGTAGTCATGAGCTGCTGAGCAGCAGAACATCACCTCTGCCTTGACCTGGAATTGACAATATCCTTGAGTATTAGGGACATGCTTAGCATTTTAACTCAATAGAACAGAACATAGCTTATTATAGCTGTGTGCCAGCTTGAGAGACTAAAGATTCAAATTTATTCAACCAAGACCTGCAGCAGAGTAAGACTAGATGATTCCACTTACTCCAATATACTTCACCTCATGCTCAGAGTACCCACTTCCAAAAGCAAGGACTCGAACTTCTTCCTTGCTCGTTCTCAGATTTGATCAAATCTGTATTCCCATCCTGGTGGATGCCTGAGGAACCCAGTCAAGGTCAAACAAACCTTCTGATAGAAACAGCTTTTCAGTTGGAGTTGGAGTCAAAGCTTTCTAGTGGAAGGGAAAGGTTTGTTTCCTTTCTGCATTCTAGGGATGTCTCACTGCCAGCTCCTACACAATGAAGATACCTCAAGTGTTTCTGCAAATCTCAGAACAGCCTTACCTAAGAAGTAATTACTGACATTTCACTATTTTTACTCCCTCAAGTATCAGGCAGCTTCTTTCTGGAAGTTCCACGCTATGAAAAACATGGGACTTATCACAGGCACATATATTCACACCTGAGCATGAATGAGAAATCCTAAAGCCATTTTCAAGGGAAAAGTCTCCTTGTCAACATGAAAAACACCCCAGTGCTCAGTAATTCTGAATTCAGCTGGGACCTGCTCAAAGACAGCCCATATTCTATGTGTGTGATGCTGAAGAGGTTGTCACTAACCTCAGAACTACAGGATTTGATTCTGGATTCCTCAGACATTTTGTAGGAAACAGAAAGATTATAACCAAAACATGGCAAAATACTGACCCACAAGGAGAAAAAGATGCTTACAATAGAGGAACTTAATCCTACTCAGGCTCCTAAAATCAGCCAGAATTTCTTCTCTGTCAGTTCCAACTGGAAGAGACTCAAATCCTTACAATTCCCAAATATTATATTCCAAATTCATCAGGGCAAAACTCTCATGTATTTGCAAATAAAGAGTGTATTTAAAAAACTAAATTGCTTTAAGCCGTTCTTGCCCTGGCATGAACTACAAGAGCCACAACTCCCCCCACCCCAGAGGAGCTGTACCTGCCAGCATGTTCTAATACTTTTAACAGAAGAGAAACATATCAAATCCTATTGCTGCCCAGACTGTACATCCCGTGGGAACTCTACGTGAAGCAACATCTCTTACAGCTTGTAATCCACACGCTGTTCTTGTGGCCAAACAGTGGTAATGGAATTCCACAGGCCTGCTTCCAGAAAGACAGCTGTGCTCTTCCAAAAAAAAGCCCCACATTCATCAACAGAGCTCATAATGCAGTGCTTTACATTGTGTCAACTGGCTTCTCTTTCCTACTTTTCTTCTTCAACAAGCTGCCATATTATCAGCACTATCTCCTTCCCAGGAACTAGTTCTGTCTTTGCAAACTATTTGTCCCTGACAGGAAATAGGCCAGACTGTGTTATTAAAGAGCTCTTAAGAGGAAGAAACTAACTCCAAATTCACTAAGCTTACCAAAGCAAAATCTTAATCCCTCTTGCTCCAGAGAAGAACTGGGTTTTGTTCACAGGTTTAAGCATCCTGAGAGCAATAAACCTTTCTATGCAGTGACATTGTGATTTTCTGTTATGCTCTAGAATAACGGAATGTTAACCTCAGAGACAAGCCTGTGTGGGCTATAAATGCTTTGTGAAACCACCATCATGTCTGTGTGTGTGGGATCTGTGTTTAGGCAAACAGCTGCTTGTCACACATACGTCTACCTGGGGCTTGGAAGTCAAAAGTTCTGTCTTTATGAAGTAAAACAAATGACTCCATAAAGATGTGTCAGAATAACTTTTAACCTGACAAACATTTGCTTGATTGCTTTAAATTTGTTTAAAGCAAAATGAAGTACAGTAAAAGCCCCCTGTAAATGTATAAAGCACACACTCCTCCTGAAGTAGCCTGGTCTCACAAGGAAAAAGAAGTTGTTAACAGGTAGTGTTTAGAGGTGGGACACAGAACAGGGAAGCAGAATCCTACTGTTCACACAGCAACTGGAAACACGGCAATATGCTTTTGCTCATTCCCTTTAGGGAATTCCATCACCCACCACGTTCTCTGCAGTAATTAAGAGGGCACTGAAGGGAAACTTGTTTTTCTCTTTTTCTCACACTATCTGCTTTGCTGCAGATACTGATGTGTGAACATGTTGAGCTCGCTGTCAAGCCAACCTGCTTTGTTCCTGCAAGGACAGAAAGTTTTGTTAGGTGAAACAGCTCTTCTCAAGCCATTCAGAAAGAAGTGCAACAAAAATGAGCACACAGCAAGGCATGGAGTGCCAGAGGTTCATTCCAAAAGGCTGCTGCCATTCCTTTGCAGGTCAAGAATGCTTGCCTGCTGTTAGTCCCTAAGCTTTGAGGTTAAAACAGAGATTTTGGACACAGCTTCACATTGGTCTTACTGTGTAGGTAAGGAATGTTTGAAAAAGTCTTCCCAACAGCCTCTGCAGGGTAAAGAAAGCAGCAGACAACTGGGTACAAAGGTGAAGGCAAGACTTTTTGCATAATTTTGTAGGGGCCTGAAGGAGTTTGTAGGAGTGGCAGACTGTATGTTTTCATAAATGGGAAGGAACTGTAATTCCAAAAAAATAAAAAAGCAGGAAGAAAAAGGTGCTTTGTGAGACAGAAGCTTTAAATAACTGTCAACAGTCCATAGGAAAGTACCTAGTGAAAGGGAACATGACTTGGTAGGGAAAAGTGCT